TCATTAAGAATCAAACTCTGCCCTGCTGCCAGTTTTCTCCTTAGGCCAAATAATTGAGAGGCCATTTTATTCACGTAATTGTTCTCTGTTGGACAGCTCCTTTGCTTCTGAGAGTTTGTAATGCTATCCCATCAAAATTATAAAACAACAACACAAAAGAGTTGTAACACAAGAACTATCTGAGACTTGGGGGAATGTATGTGTGGTAACATCTTCATAGCTCTTGGCTGACTCTATGGGACTGGAATCTAAATACACACACACACACACACACACACACACACAGTGAGTTGTGCTACATTGAAACATAAACGACCCTGACAAGGCACAAAGACCTGATGGTTAGAATAATAATTTATATCGATGGATTCCCTCAGTGCCAGACATATGTAGAGTGTTACTGCATCGAATCCTCATGATGCTGTGAAGTGGGAGTGCTAATGTTATCTTCACTTTACAGATGGAGAAACTGAAGATTTGGAAAATTAAATAACTTGGTATGTGTCCCTAGGACAGGCTGGGGCTGGGATTCAAATCCAATCTATTTAAACAACTAGTGAAAAATAAGCACTGTCCTTTAGTAATGAGGTCTGTGTTATTTTTTCCTGGACCAGATCTCCCTGAGCCCAGGTTTTAGGATGGTAGCAGAGAGTATTAGAAGGATGCTGTTTTCTACTTTCTCGTCTGAATGTAAAAACCAGAGCAATGTGCTGGTAAGAATTTGATCTTGGGCTAAGGATGTAGCTTCCTGGTGTATAACACTTGCCTAGCCTGTGTGGGGCCTTGGGGACCATCCCCAGCATAATGGTGGAAAGGGATGGGGGAGGAAGTTTTGGTCCTAGCCTTAGAGGATTTTCAGGTTTAAATGGGTGGTTTGCTCCCTGCTGCCATCTGCTGACCATGTGTACCAAGCTCAGCCCAGAGCTCCACATTTCTCATAGCAAGTTGTGGAGAGGGGCCATAGGATCCAAAATGTGGATGCCTCTCCCTACTGTCAGAAATATCTACAATGTGCATTTTTAAGAAGAAAAGAGTGTTACTGAGGCTTCATGTAATGACATGTTTTTTTTCTGCCTCTCTTCATTATTGGCATGCTTCTCATCATTTTCCAAATCATACCCTGGGTTTCCCTGACTCCCAGAATAGAAGATAAAGAAGCAGAGAAAGGCTTGATTATTACCCAGAGCAATGATGGCCTTGGCAGTCTGGCTAGGGCACCACAGTCATCTTCCTCTTCTCTGTGTTTGTAATAGGGAAGTTAGACCAAGCCTGGATACACAGGGGGAAGGGAAAGACTGTCAGAACCTCATCAGGGATCTGTCACTCTGCAGAATGGCTCCAGGATGTGCCCAGAAGAGACTGTGCTTCTCTCCATACCTTTTGCAGGCAGAGGAGCAATTAGGTTTAGAATATTGAAACCAGAGTGTTGCTAGGAAGCTTGAAATACAATTCTCTCCTCACCGATGTGCTTCAAGAAGTAATTCCTATTTAAAATTATTATCTTAAGAATGAGAGTGACCCTGCGTCTCCTCAGTTGCCTGGTAGTAGACTCCAGGGGTCAGCTTGTCTGATGTCACAAAAGATAAATTTTAATATGGCATTATGTAAAAATGTGGATGTGTAACCTATGTGATTCTGCAATCTGTATTTGGGGTAAAAATGGGAGTTCATAACCCACTTGAATCTAATGTATGAAATATGATATGTCAAGAGCTTCGTAATGTTTTGAACAACCAATAGAAAAAAAAGATAAATTTTCTGTTTAAAGAACAGAAATGTGTGGAGAAGCTCAATTGGTCTCAGACATACTCACAGCTCACTAAGTTTGTTGAAAATGACAAAAATGTAGCACTCCTCCTCCTCTCCTCCTGCTCCCCTGTCCCCTCTCTTTTTCTGTCTTTCCCTCTCCACTGCCCCCATATTCAGCCTGAGACATCCCTGGTGGTGTAACCTCATTGCCGTTTTTAAGCCCTCTTACATTACTTCACCAGAAGCCCCTTGTCTCCTAGTATCACACAGATCTCAAGGCACTGACTAAAGGGTGGGAGCCTCAGACCCCTGCCTCTTGATCTCCTGTTTCCCAGTCCTCTCCTTGCCGGGCCCCTGGAGCTCCTCTGAGAATGTAGTCTGAAGAGGGTGTGTGCCATGTAACTTAAGTCTGGGCTGAGTTGGAATGTTCATCTTTGTTTCTGAGCTTCTTTTGGTACCAGGGATTGAACCCAGGGGTGCTTAACTACTGAGTCACATCCCCAGCCCTTTTGATATTTTATTTAGAGACAAGGTCTCCTTAAGTTGCTTAGAGGGCCTTGCTAAGTTGCTGAGGCTGGCTTTGAACTGGCCATCCTCCTGCCTCAGCCTCTGGAGCAACTGGGATTATGGGGATGTGCTACCACACCCAGCCTAGCAAGACTATTTTTTTAAATGTTAATAGTTGCCAATTCCAGGTGATAATTTGTGGATTTCTTTGTACTTTTCTGAATCTGTTCCCACAAATAAGGCTAAAAAAAATAGTGGGGTAGTAGAGAGAATAATGTTTGTACATTGGACCAAATAGAACCTCAGGTCCTTGGGAGAAGTTTGTTTTCAAGCCATTTAGCTTGACTAGACATGGTTTTAGAGACCAGGGGGAGAATTGGTGTGTTTTTGCCTACCGTGAAGACGTGGATTTCAGGCCTGCTTGGAATAAGGCAGTGGCTTTGAAACAATGGGATTTTAAAAGGACTTGTGGCTTGAAAATTCAATATCAGTTAAAATATATAGCACATCATCGAGCCTCGCTTGTTCAATATTGAACTCCAGTGTCACTTATATAGTCATTTTTTTAAATGAATATATCCTTCTTCCTTTGTTCTCACTGAGAACAGGAATAGTATCTTTTATTCCTTGGTTATACTAAGGACTTGAGAAATATTTGTGATTTTTATATTTGCTCATTCATTCATTAATTCTCATTAAGCATCTACTACCTGCCAGCTATTTTGCTAGGTACTGAGGACACAACAGTAAATAAAACTGAGCTCTCTCGTCTTCACAGAGGAGGAATCAATGAGTGAGTGACTGATGTTAGAATATCATTAACTCTTTACTTCCTGAAAACTCTGAAGAGCAAGTGCTGCACCTCTCTGTAATAAAATTATGGGTAATGCAAAGCCAACTAAGGAGGTGGCAAATCCAGCCCCTTCCTGTCGGCCCCCTGCAAGAGCTCACAAAACACAAGGGAGGAAGCAAGAACATGGGAACATGGGAAGAGATAAGGATAATTGGGCCAAAACTATTCTGCAGGCCAGTGGCCCCTGCACCACAAAGCTGTGTGCCATTGGCCCGTCTGGGTGCTTCCCCACGCATCTTCTTCCCATCCTTGCAGTCCATCCTGATGCTTGCGGTGGAGGATTTTAGGTGGCCGTGAGCCAGCTGTTGCCAAGGTATCCCCACACACAGCAGGAATAAAACATCTGCCTGTGTGCTTTTTTCCTTCCACTTCAGGACATGAAATGACAAATTCAGAGTGAGGAATAAGGAGCAGTATCTCATACAAATAGCCTTGTGTCCCAAAGAAAAGCAGATAAAAACCTCACCAAAAGTCATATACCCACTGCCCACACAGGCACAGTCTCCCTGACTCTCCACACCCTGAGCAGAGCGTAGGGTGGATGAACCTACATCGATGCAATATCACCACCCAAAGTCCATAGTTAGGCTTTACCCTTGGTGTTGTATATTCTGTGGGTTTTGACAGATGCATGATGACATGTGTCCTATGGAATAGTTCCACTGCCCTAAAATTCCTGTGCTCTATTCCTCTCTCCTGAAGTTTCCATCTTGTCACAGTGTCATTAGAATTCTGTATTTGAAATATTTTTGATAGAACTGGCCTTTCAACCCACTAGAACTACTTTCTTGGTCAATATTTCTTTTAAAAAATTTGTAAACTTAATTCTTTATAGAGCTTCCTTTTGCTTTCAAAGATCTCAAATTTGGATGATAAGTTACAGACTCTCCATAATTACAGTCTATACCTTAAAGGGAGAAAAACTGATCTCCAGAGAAGAGAGGACTTCCTGGAGTTCCTGGCCAACCAGATAAAGAACAAGAGTGAAACCTGGGTCCTGGGCTTCTGGAACACTATTCCAAAGACATGATCTGGACAGGCAACTCAGATCGCAAAGCTTATTGCAGCCTTGCTGAATTTTAAAAGAGTTAAGAAAATGGAATTGCTTGTGTAATTTCTAACTCAGATGTAAGAATCTTCATTACAGAAGTCAATGAATAATGAACCCGGTCAGGAATGGAATAGACCGCAAGAGGTCAGAGATGAAAACCTAAGTTGGGAGGCGAGAATCTGCCTAGAGAGTAAGAAATACTACAGAGGTAGAAGTTTGGCCTTAAAAAAGAGTACTGTGTTTTTAGAAGAGATTCCATAAATTCAGACAAGGAAGAATAGCATCTTCACTGACAAGTGTTCTGTGGTATTTTGAGACTGAGATTAGTTTAATTTGCATATTCCTGGGACATAATACATCTGTTTCTCCAGGAGAATGAGTCTAGGTTTCTATCAAATACACATTCAACCTGCCTAATATGATAATTAACGATTTTCTAGTTTTGCCCACATGTAATTTCAGCACAATGTTATCCTGAAGATTGAAGTGATTACTTTTTCATAGCAATTCAATAGTGGTTCATAAAAACTGATTTCTTCTTTTATATTCATTTTCAGATGTAGTATTTCAAATATATACCACTGTAAAGACACACAGGTTTCTTAAATCAGACAAGAATGGCCATGGTAGGAGACAAGGTCACGTGGGGTGGTGAAGATGTCAAAGTACATTGTATTATACTTGCAAAAGAGACACGATAGTGTGTGGGATTGATTCTGCACCCCCAGGAGTTTTTAGGATGTGTCGTCCAGATGCCAGCTTGGTGAAAGGATGTTTACTCTGGGTGTTTTCCTTCCATTTGTGAACCATGTGAGAAATGCTTGTATTTATTTTTGTTAGGCCTCTCTATCCGGAGCGTGTGCTGGAGAGCAGACCGCCTTCTAGCTGGGACCCAAGACAGTGAGATATTTGAAGTGATAGTGCGAGAGCGAGACAAGCCAATGCTGATCCTGCAGGGCCACTGCGAGGGGGAGCTCTGGGCCCTGGCCCTGCACCCCAAGAAGCCTCTGGCTGTGACAGGCAGCGACGACCGCTCTGTCAGGTGAGGTTGCAGCTGCCAGCACCTGGGAGTTATCCCAGGGACTCCCCCCAGGGATTCCTGCAGTACAGAACCCTACATTTCCCAAATGGAACGTTAGGAGGTTTAGCTAGACTCTAGCTGGTTTCATGACTTTTCATTATCTTTCTATGACTCCACCTTATTGGGATTGTTCTTAGAAGTGAAAATACAGGAATGCTGTTTAGGCTGGCTTGCCATTCTCTCGGGTTCAAGATGTGAGCCAGGCGTGCTCCTATGTGATGAGACCACATTTCCCCCTCTATACTTGGTCCTCTACACGGTCAATTTGCAGTTTAGAAACTCTCATTCCTCCATTCCTCACCATCAGAACTTCAGTTCTGATTTTTAAAGTTGTCTTCATCACATGAGTCAATTATTATTTCTTTGTAATTTTTTTTCTTGGTACTAGGGATTGACCCTAAGGGTGCTTAACCACTGTGCCACATCCCCAGTCATATATATATATTTTAGAGACAGGGTCTCACTAAGTTGCTGAGGCTGGCTCTGAACTCAAAATCCTCCTGCCTCAGCCTCCCCAGCCTCTGGGATTACAGACATGTACCACCAAGCCCAGCTTTCTTTGTAAATTTGAGATGAAATTTTGAACAATTGTTTTCAAATCCACAGTGAAGGCTAATTTCCAAAAAGGTGCACAGTGTTATTAGTGCCTTCAAAGTTCTTGCTGTGATTCATCTATTCTTTGAGAGCTCAATGTTTGGGAAAAATTAGTATGCCATCAGGATCCTGATGATTATTGAAGGAATGACTATATGACTTAAACATTTGAGACTAAGATTATTGCACTGATTTCAATATTTAGGTATTTATTATAAGCTTTAAATGTGCTTAATAATAGGCTACAGAGAGGAAGAGAATGATTGATTGATTGTTTTTGTGGATTTTAACAGCTGAAACAGAACACTGTCAACTAGAGTAAAGGTCACTGCTTTTTCCCACTTATTCTGTATGTTTATGATTCTAATCAAGATACAGTCTGCTCATTTCTGTTTTTTAGTGTCTGCCAAGCATGAAAGCCGCATTCATCTCAGGAAGGTAGAGACAGCTACTCATGTAATGAGTGCTTATTTGACTTATGCTACTGGTGGCTCCCTTCTTTTTATTCCTTTACTCTGAGTTTTTGCCAAGTAGCCAAAACAGTGCCATAAACTCATTCAAATACCTGTGTAACTTGTTCGCTCCCATTCAGAAAGGAAGGACTTCAGAAGGTCCTGGGCTTTCATATTTTAAGAATCATATTGAGTCTTAGAACTTTGAGCTCCTTGAGGAGCCCTGGCTGCAGAATCTGTTTTATTCCCCCTTAATCATTAATTTGGCTAAAACTTTAAATGCTGTGTTATCTTGAGTTTGAAATTTAGGAAAGGAAAAAGTCATAATTTCTTGAAGGGTTATCTTGGCAGCTTTCTAGGGCTTCCTATACCATTTACTGAAAAGGGATGGGTTCTTCAGCCCACTAAAGCAAAGCTTACATTGCTTAAAATAGTACAAGGCTAAAAACAGCCCAGGGTGATGAATAATGGATGAGGTATTGAGAGACTATCATAAGCTTTAGGCCAAACAGTACAGGCTGCCTAAGGGACCATGAACTGTTCATTATGCAACCCCACATTGTAGGGGGTGTGCCTGCCTCTCCTGATGGCAGATGATACTTGGGAAAGCACCACCTGTTACTCACTCTTGCCCTTCTGTTGCAGGACGATAGGGTTTCCATCCCCCTAGCAGATATTGTTGTTTGGTTGTTAAGAGAAGATTCTTGAAGTCCTGACAGGTCGGATGCCATAATTATAACATGGAAACCCTTATTTGAATTTCATAAATACTTTGCTGTGGTTCACTTAGTTTGAGATGCCTGAATTAGGTGTTCTGGAGATGGGAATACGTGTAGTTGGCTCTGCTGAGAGATCAAGTAATTGCACTTACCATTTCTCCAGCAGTGGCTGTGCTCACTGGCCATGAGCACCATGAAGTGTCCCCCCACAAATAGTGGATCCTTTAGTAGTGGGGCATCCAAGGACCTTGAGTGATAGCTATGACTACATACAACCAACTTTGGAGCCATCCTGGATAAGGGGAACCCTTCATTCTTAGATTCACTTTCTTTCCAGGGAGGCCAACAAATGTGTTTCAGTCTGTAAGTGCTCAAATATCAGTTACTAGAGCAGTACTCACATATACTTTTTTTCTAAGTGGTACTTAGGGATTTGAACCCAAGGTCTCACACGTGCTAGGCAAGTGCTCTGCCACTGAGCTATATCCCCAGCCCACATATTTTTAAATTAACAATAAAAGCATTAGTAGTTCTTTACCTATAATGTGATTAACAGCCACTAGTATAAGCAAATTAATTTTTTTATTTCCAATGAGATGAGAAGATCTTATGTGAAGTGGCCTTTATATTTTCCCTATTCATTTAATCCCCAAATATTTGGAAATGCTACTTTGTACATGTTGCTGGTCTTTTTCAAATGATGAAAGTGACCCAAAAATGGACAAAATATCCTTACAGATTCCCTGACAGGCCTCGACAAAGATACTAGTGGGAAATTCCTGTGTCCTTTCTTGCTATCCTCAGTGGCTGGTGGTATGGGGGGAAGCCCTTCCTACCTGGGGCTGACGGGTGACTCTGAGAGGTTGGTCTGGCTTTACTCTTACTTGCTCTTGGCGTAGGCTGTGGAGCCTGGCTGACCATGCCTTGATCGCTCGCTGTAACATGGAGGAAGCAGTCCGCAGTGTCGCCTTCAGCCCCGACGGGTCCCAGCTGGCCCTGGGCATGAAGGACGGCTCTTTCATCGTTCTTCGAGTCAGGTATGTGCCAATTCTGAAAATGGTTTTTAGAGATGGTCTTTTGTTAGAAGCCAAGATTCTCCTGGTCATAACATATGCCAGGACTTTAGGAAGCATATTTACCCTTTCAAATAGGAGTACCATTGTGCCTCAATTCCCTACCTATAATTCTGAAGTCCGAAACACTCTGAAAATCCAAATTTCTTGTTAATTTAGAGCCTGATCCAACGAACTGATGTGAGGCTATTTACAGTCTCTAGGAATAATAACATGTCATGTTATCTGCTAAAAAAAAAAAATGTGTTTAACTCAGGTGCTGTCCCAGATCAGCATATTAACCTTTCTAAAATCCAATGAAGAACAATTTTCCAAGCACATCTGATCCCAATGGCCTTCAGATAAGAGATCATGGGCTTTGTAGTTAAGCCAACAAAAGAGGAAGGAAGAACAAAGCAGCATCCAACGGCACTAGATATTTTTATAGGTGGACTTGAATGAAAGATTACTTCCATCCAAAATTGACACTAAAATGAAATATTTCCTACTTGCTAACATCCTCCATTATTTTTACTGGACAAAATTATGACCCATCCTTGTAAGTCCTCTGAATACATTGTTTGCTTGGCTCACACATTTTGTGCTTACAGAAAAGAAATGCATTGTAAATTACTGCATGTTCTGCAAAGAGAGAAGGCTATATGGCCTTGAAGAATGCTCTTGGACAGTTGATCACACTGCATTCTCATTGCCAGCCACACATAACTCATTACCAAACTAGTGGGCAACATTTTATTCCTCTGCTTAGTGATAAGATGGATAATTACTAGATCTCCTCTATGATAAATTTCCCAAGTCCAAGCCAGAAAGCCTACACAATCTATTTTATGACATTAGAGTAAACTAGAGTGCCACTAATAAATGATAGCAGGGATTATTATGGAGAAGCAAATATTTGTTATTTGTGCATTCAGTTTGTTTTGGAGTTGATGAAGCCATCTTTACTGGCTCAGGAGACCTGTCAGTCAAAATCCTGTCTCATGGTTGGAGGAAAAAAAATTCAGTGAGCTTTCCAACGTGGACAGAAATGCTTCAAAGAATCTTGTCAGCAAGCATCCAAAAGAGCCCAGTGATTCAGTGTATTCATTATTGACCTTTCATAGTGAATATTAAATGATATAATAATCTAACACTTACATAGATAATTTCTTCTGCTTTTTGGACTGACTTTTTACAGCAATAAGCCTTAAGTTTAACAGTCAGGATCTTGTCATTCTTCGAGTATAAAAACAATGTTTTATTTTCATGCCAGCCTTGATACATTTTGCCTTTCTCCAGGACATATTTAAAAAAATAATTTTTAAAATTCCAATGTTTTATATAAAAGTTTTAGGGAAAAATAATATATAACTAAATAGAAAAGAAAAATGCTTTGTATTAAATTTTTCTGTACTTACTTTAAAAACCCAAAGTTTCAAGTATTTATTTTCATAAACGTGTCATAGATTTGAAATAATGTTTCATGTCTTTCCTCAGAAGTTAATTTTTTCATTCTCTTTTCTCTTCCTTTTGAAACCTTTTTTCCTCCTTTGAGATGTGTATTTTAAAATATCAATTGGGTTTTCTAATTCTCAATTTTCTGCTTATCACTTGGCATTTTGACTCTTACAGAGATATGACAGAAGTGGTTCACATCAAGGATCGGAAAGAAGTCATTCATGAAATGAAATTTTCTCCTGATGGTTCTTACCTCGCAGTGGGATCCAATGATGGCCCAGTGGACATCTACGCGGTTGCCCAGCGGTACAAGAAAATAGGAGAATGCAACAAGTCCCTTAGCTTCATTACACACATTGACTGGTCCTTGGATAGTAAATACTTGCAAACTAATGATGGTGCAGGAGATCGATTGTTCTACAAAATGCCATGTGAGTCATACGTAGTCACTGGGTGTTTGTGAAAAGCAAACTTTCAACTACATGAAGAAAATGTAAGAGAATATCCTTATGATCTCAAGGCAGGGAATGTTCTCCTAAATAAGATCCCCAAATCATAAATCCTCAAAGAAAAAGTTAATGAATTAAAACACATTAAAATAAAAAAAAAACAACATTAACTACACAACTAAAGAGACCCTGAGTTAAAATTTAAAAACAAGGAATAAATGAGGCATAAATCCTTGCAGTTGTTGTAATGGACAAGGAATATTTGTCTAGAATATGTAAAGAATGCCATAAGTTAAGTGTAAGGGCCAGACATGGTAGCCCACACTTATAAAACCAGTGACTCTAGAGGCTGAGGTAGGAGGATCTCAAGTTCAAGGCCAGCCCTGGCAACTTAGCAAGACCCTATCTCAAAGGGGTGGGGATGTGGCTCAGTGGTAAAGCACCTCTGAGTTCACTCCCCAGTACCTACTGCCATTCCCCCCTCCCCCCCATAAAAGCTAAGGGAAAATACTAGAAAAAAATGTACAACTCTTAAATGACCAATGAACATCTGATAAGGAATCGGAGATGTGATAATTTTGACAATGAGAAACCATTTTACACTATGTAGACTGGCAGAAAAAAAAAGTCAATATTAAATGATGAGAAGAGGGGGAATGGAAACTACACACACTACTATTGGGAACATGCACAAAGCCACGTGCACAGAATGTTTATTGTAACAGTATGCATGAGAGCCAGAAATGAGCAGTTCCCAAGTGACGATCAGCATGAGGAGGGTTTAATTAAATATGGGACAGTCACATAATGGAATGTGAGAAAGAACCTGAACTGGAGCAATTTGTGTCAATGAGGATAGATCTCAAAAATAAACTGCTGAGCAAGTAAAAGTGGCAGAATGATATGTACAGTGTATGATCACTTATATAAATAGGACAAATTTGATATATTATTTTTGGCTGCATACATATTAGTAATATGTTTTAGAAATGGGTGGGAATAATAAACACCTAATTCAGGGTGTGGGTTACCTTTAAAAAAAAACAGTGAAATAAGATTGGGGGGAGTACCCTGGATTTTAACTACCTGTAATGTTTTCTTTAAAATTCTTTGCTAAAGACAAGATATTAGGATTTGTTAAAATGGGTACTGCACACACTTGTTCATTATATACTTTTTTATATACTTGAAATACTTTACAATTTTTTACTTTCAGGTTGTGGAGACAACCTGAAATAATTGTACGGCCAACGTCCCCGTATTTCAAGGTTCATGACCCATTTAGTTCTGTATCCGAGTCTTTTGATTTATCGGCTGTTCCCTCTTCCTTCTTTGTTCCTGCTCTTTGTCCATTTCATTTTTTCATTAATGCATCTCTAAAAGGTTGAATAAATGGCAGTAATGCAAAATAGTCATAATGTCTCTATTAGTGCATTGCACACAGTTCAGCAGAATCAGAAATGAATAAAAATGAGCTGGAGGTGTAATCTGTGGGTTTCAGTTGCCAGACAGTAGCACCCCATCATACCCTTGATACCAAGAGTAGTTGGCTCTAGCAGAAGGACCTATTAAAACAGGCTGGCCCTGGGAAATTAGAAACTGTCTCTGGAGCCAGCCTAGAACTCATGCACAGGACCTCAAGATTAGAATGACTTCTCAAAGATTTGAGGATCATTATGTCAATTACTTTGATTGCTTTAGTCCCAAATAAGTGTTCTGTATAATTAGGACCCTTTATTATATGAGTATTTGGTGAAATATGCTCATTGGGATTATAAAAAGTCACAATTTTTTATTTGTGACCACGTGTAAGAGATTTGTCTGACATAATGCTAATTTAGTAACAGTTTGTAATACTGAGTGTCTTAAAAGTGAATTACTGAATTATAATCTTTGATGATTTTTAATGTAAGAGGAAAAAAATTAATAGTACTCTTGACCTCAGATAATTACATTTTGTCTTAAATCTTTTATTAAAAAATTATTTACCATAAAATAATGTGTAACATAACAGAGTTTCTGTCTTAGCAAATTCATCAATGTACCATTATTAGGTATGTATTTCTTTGTGTCTGCACTCTTTGCTTGATATTATTTTATATAGATATATTTTTCCATAGTGTGGAAACATGGAACACATTTGTCATTTGCAATAACAAAATAATATCCTTCTCGGTGATGATATCATTATTTACTTTATCATTCTATTATTGGCTGTTTGGGCTATTTCTGGTTTCTTTGCTCATCCAATAGTGCAGTTCCAAATACTTCTTGTATATGTGTGATTTTTCTCTTCAGAGTTACTTCCTGGGAGAGTTTTCTCCAAAGAAAGAACACTGGGCCAAGGATTGTGTTCCAAATAACTACAAACTCTGATTCTATTGTCATTTTTTAATATTCAATGATCAAAGTTTAATTTTGTTAAAATCATAATATTCCACAGCATATTTACAGATTCAGCATAATTAGGTCAAAATCCCACTGTTATTTTATAGAAGTTGGTCAACTGACACCAATAATCATAAAGTGCAAAAGAAATCAAATAATCAAATATTGAAGTAAAAAAACAAAACTGGCTTTTGCTAAAAATATTTGTTGCAAGGAAAAGATGTGTGTAGGATATTGAACTTAGGGTAATTATTTTTAAGTTACTGATTAGTGTTTTAGTCAGCTTTTTCACTGCTGTGATTAAAAGACCTGATAAGAACAATTTTGGAAAAGGAAAAGTTTATTTGGGGATTCACAGTTTCAGAGGTCTCAATCCATAGATAGCTCCATTCCTTGGGGGTCAGGGTGAAGTAGTCATCATGGCAGAGGGAAGCGGCTCACATGATGACTGGACAGCAGAGACTCCACTTGCCAGATACAAAATATTAACCCCAAAGGAACACCCCCAATGACCCACCTCCTCCAGCTACACCCTACCTGCCTTCAGTTACCATTCAGTCAATCCTATCAGGATTAATACACTGATTGGGTTAAGTCAATCATTTCTTTTCTAAACTTTCTTGCATTTTCTCACACATGAGCTTTTGGGAGACACATCACATCTAAACCATAACAAGTAGCATTCCCTGTACCTGAAGATTCTAATGTCTTTTTAAATGAATTTTTACATAATAAGGTTACAGTCAAGAATTTTGGGTTGCCAATTTGACCATGCACATTGATATACCAGGGCATCTGTTCTCACAGATATTTTATTTGAAAATGTTATAGAGGATATCAAGAAGTATGCTTCATTTTATTGATTGTGAATTTTAAGATGGTGTGTGACTAAGTATTTCCCAAACATTGCTTTATTGTTTTCCCCCGTGTGCTTTCTGTGGACTTCACGTTAGCTGCTGCTGCTGGAAATGGATTGTTCCCTAAGTTTGGGGACATACCCAGAATGAGTCTCAAGACTGTTTCCCCTGACCAACTATACTTATTTCAATTTTAGATTTAAGTAATAAGTCTAGTATTTTAAAAAACTAATTTATAGAAGCATTTTTTTTAAATCATTTGTAAGCATCCCTAAAGTATGAAAAATTGAAATTTAGGATAAACATAGCAAAATGTTGACTCAGTGCGGTAACACATAATTTACTGATTTCATCAACAATACAAAGCATAATATCACCTATACCTAAGTAAATACAGATAAGTAAATATTAGTAGTTTGAGACATTACATCTAGTATAACAATCATTTTCTATTTTCCTTATAGGGAAGTTTTGAGCATGTGCTTTCTTTAAGCCCTGCTACCTGCCTCCAAATCATAAATTTGGTCTTTAGAACCAGTAGTTTCCTTGATTTTATTAGAAAAAATTTTTAAAGAGCTATAGAGTTTAATAAGAAAAATGAGCCAAGTAAATTAGAGTATGTTTTTTATGTAAATGTAGCATTTATTATTTTCAGCTGGGAAGCCTTTAACAAGTAAAGAAGAAATCAAAGGGATTCCCTGGGCGTCCTGGACATGTGTGAAAGGGCCTGAAGTGAGTGGAATTTGGCCCAAATACACTGAGGTTACTGACATCAACTCCGTGGATGCAAATTATAACAGCTCAGTGCTGGTGTCTGGAGATGATTTCGGACTGGTCAAGTTGTTTAAATTTCCTTGTCTCAAGAAAGGTAAGGCTAAGAGGGATGTTTCATTGGATAAAGATTTACTCTGGACTGGGAATGCACTACGATTAAGGCTTATGTTCTTGGTGTCTATTCAGCCGACTCATTTTCTCTCAGATGTGTGTTGTTACTCTGTAGCAGTTTTTCCATACAGCTGAGAGGGTGAGTTGTCAAGGTCACCTTTGTTTCTTTGTTTGCCATCATAAGACACATGCTTTTGCAAATTTAAGCTGGAATTCATTGATTTAATACCATTTTGTGCTTCATAAGCCTGGTGTTTCACAGTTCAGACAATCTTATTTTTATTTATACTTATGTAAATATTCATAACTTAAATTCCATATATTTCCATTAAAATATTATACAGTTTTTTTAATGCTTCTCAGCACTTGTGCATATATAGGGAAAGGCAAACCAAATCTTTTAAACATAATTAAAATCTGAAAGTAATTATTCTGGTGACAATGTATTTTATCTCTTGTCCCAGCACTAATTTTGCAAACCAGATTTGCAAAACTATGATGAATTTTTGAGAGAGAAGTTGAGTTCAAAACAACCTTCCCTGTCATGTTATGTTGTTGAAATTGTGTCACTTCAATTATGTGGCCCCTGTAGACTTCAAGTGACTGAATTAACCATATAATGACCCTTTCCTCCTCTTTTGCGAGTTTAGACAAAGACCTCACACAAGCTCTTCTGAGACTCCTCTGCTGTTTCCTGAAACTATGATCTTACAGCAGTAATCAGCAGGGAGCATGCTGCTGCCTGAAAACTCTTTCACTTGAACGATTTTTAAATTAAGCAAGGAAGGAATTGAAAAATATAATCAGAAAGTCATAGTCAGCTGACAGTTTTGAAGCAGTGACAATTATGGTACAAAATGGAGCATAAAACACCTAGCAAACCCACCGTCCCTTACAATTGACAAAATAGCCATCAGTTTAAAATATTTGAGGCACAAAATTACCTCAACGTGCCCAATTCAAACTTTCCGTCTCTCCCCCTAATGGCCCATGTGAGTAATGGGGCGTATCTGGTTAGATTGAGTAATGTACTTGCAGAGGGAAAGTTAGGCAAGTTAGAAGGTGCCTGGGAATTCAGGATCCAGAAGAAACATCATTGAGGTCAGAAGCATTGCTACTGGTCTCCAGGGTCAGAACTGGGGAGTGACATGAATGCAATGAGAGTTGGCATCTCCTGTGCTTCCCCTTGTAAGGTGGACTGGAGTCTGGAAAATAGCCATAGAGTAGTAGACTTTTATTGGAGCTGAGAGAGGGTGAGTAATCCTGTCAAAATGAGGCACTCTTTGGTGAAAAGTTACCCTGTGGGTGAGGCACACAGGGCCTCCAAGTGAAGAGAGATGGACAGTGGGGTGACAGTGTGGGGAGAGTAGCAAGACCCACTTCAGCATCGAAGTACTCATGCCCTCTTAGCAAATTAACTTGTTTTACTTTTCATGACACATGGCATCTGAGGCTCATTACAAGATTTATAAACTTTCAAGTTCTTGTGTCTTTTTCTTTGTGCCAAAACTGGTGGTGGGGAAGCTAATAAAATAGTGTTGGAGTTGTTGATAGGAATAGTAGTTGGTAGAACTCATCCCTCTAACCAAGGGTACCAGAGACACACATTTCCCCTGAGTTTTTTATTTTTTATTTTTTGGTGGGGTCTACGAGGGGTTGAACTAAGAGACACTCAACCACTGAGCCACATCCCCAGCCCTATTTTGTATTTTATTTAGAAACAGGGTCTCACTGAGTTGCTTAGCACTTCGCTGTTACCAAGGCTGGCTTTGAACCCATGATCCCCCTGCCTCAGCCTCCTGAGCTGCTGGGATTACAGGCATGTGCCACCGTGCCCTGCTCCCCCTGAGTTTTGAACCTGCAAAAAGATAAAGATGAGTAGAGGCTGATGGCTGTGAGCAAGTGTGGAAGCCTAAGTTTTGTAGTTTTCCAATGTGATGAACTATAACTCACAACCCAGTTAATTTGACACATTGGGAAATGCGTATGTATTCTGTGGTCCAGCAGCTAAATGTATAAGTGTTTTGCAGTTAATGGAAATTACTGAATCGATGTTATTTTTACACAGCCAAAGCACTTCATTTTTCTTACTTTGGCAATTTTCAAATCTTAAAATAATTAACATCAATGCTGACAGTTTTCTTTGGTGCCACTTAGACTGCTTGCTCTTTGACACTGACGTGAACAACCAACTCCATTTCCCATGACAAATGAGCTAGGTAGTGTGGACTTAGGTTGCAGAAACCTGAGACCTTGGAGGAGAGAGTGTCAGCCTTCACCACACTTGGGTGGGGTTGGTTTAGAGCAGGAACAGAATGGCTTGAGCAGAATGAGAGAGAGTTGTATACCAGGAAGATGGAGAGGGCCCATGGGCTGTGTCGTGAAGTTCCTTGTAGCCACTACTGAAAATCAGGTCTCACTCTGTGTAATTGAAAAATCACTGAGGATTTTAAGTGGAGGACAGACGGGACCAATGTAAATATTTAAAAGACCACTTTGATATTGTGTGAAATAGGTTAGGCCCCACCAAAAAGGTGATGTGGCTGAGAACAGATACAAAGAGTGTTCCAGGCAGAGGAAACAGCCTGGCACTCTTAAGGAATAGAAAAGGGGCCAGTATGCCTGTAGCAGAGTAGGCGAGGGAAGGATAGGGGAGAAGATAGAATCAGAGAGGTAACACATAAATACTAATGGCAGAATGCGTCTGCAGGTTCTACCTCCAGCCAGCCACATATTAGTTATTTATTAATTATTAATAAGTATTAAATATCTGTTATTATGTATTACCTATTATTTCATAACAGCTCCTCCCTCAAATTTAACAGCTCAAATGAAAAAATATATCACAAGTAGTGGGGGGGATGAGATCAGGGATTCATGAGCCGCTTAGATGGGTGGTTCAAGTTCAAGATGTGGGAGGTTGCATCATCTGAAAGCTAGACAGAGGATCCATTTCCTCTCACTTTCATGGCTCTTGGGTGGAGACCTCGGTTTCTTGCTACAAGAGCTGCTGGGTAGACTGCTTGAGTGTCCTTACAACATGGCGTAATCCAAGAACAACAGCACAGGAATCTGCAGTGCTTTTGATGGCCTCCTCTTGGATGTCACACAACCTCGTTTTTGACATATTCTATTTGTTTTTACTTGTATCAAAGAATTCTTGGACTATTTTCAAACCACTCTGAAAAGACAGGTTAAATGATCCTGTACAGACGTTAGTGTAGTAAAGGATAACCCCTCACTTTAGGATCTACAGAGGTATAGGAAGGATATACCTCTTTTCCCAATTATTGAATTATCATCCAGCATTTCCAGCTGACCCTAGTTGAAACAGTTTGACTTTGTTGCCAAAATTGATTTAGGCAAATGTTTGAAATAAGCAACCTTGCTTTTGAGACACAGTGCTTTCTTTGTGGCAGTATTTCTCTAATCTTTTTTTTTTGGGGGGGGGGGTCGTGTAGGGGAGTGTACAGGGGGCCTGAGAAAATAAGGCTTACTTGGTCAGACATGCCCTCAAGAAAGGGACCTGCAGTAGTCATTTTCACCTACATATAAAATGAAATCATGGTATCTCTGGTGGATATTTGAATTTTAAGTATGTGATAGTTGAATGGGATGACCTTTTCCCTCCTCTGAAAAGGATTTCATTTAGAGGATCTTCAAGAGTTAGAAGTGTTTTCAAAGTGGGGATGAGGAGCTGATGATCTTCTGAAATCTCCCATAGTCTGGAGTTCTAGGCCTCCACATGAAATGGACCCAGCTCATTACCACCAGGGCCTTTATCCTGCTGTGTTCTGAGCATACACTGGAGTCTTTCTTGCAAAAGTTCAACCACAGATATACTTCAAATAGGTTTTTCTATTGCACTCACTACTGGGACTGGTGTTTACTGAATAAAGCAACCAATTTAAAAGAAAAATAATTCATTCTCACAGCTAAGTCTATGTAACCCCAATAATAATAATAATAATTTGATTATTTTCACAGAATTATTTCCTGCTTCCCTGTGATATAAAACATGTAGTCCTTTACTACCATTTAAATAAGAATATGTAAGATGTTCATTCTTGATCAAGAATTATTTTCAGAATCAGTGATAATAGTAAGCATTGTTTGGAACAGGTTTTAGTTACAGAGCTTAAATCTAAGAATCAGCGTCAGATTGATCCATATTGGAAAAATTAAAGTGTCTTTTAGAGTATTTTATTGCTTATTATAATATGTAAGCCTGAAAATAACTTTATGATATATTTTAAAATTTTGCTTGATATGAATAGGAATGTGATTTCTTTTTTAACCAGTATGTTTTTGGCATAACTAATCTTCTAAAAAAATCTTTTTTCAGGAGCCAAATTTAGAAAGTATGTGGGCCATTCTGCACACGTCACAAACGTCCGCTGGTCCCATGACTGTCAGTGGGTGTTAAGTACAGGAGGGGCTGACCACTCGGTTTTCCAGTGGAGATTTATTCCAGAAGGTGTCAGCAACGGCATGCTGGATACTGCTCCCCAGGGTAAAAACCACTCATAACTTTTCCATGTCTGTTTATTTTTCAGTGAACTTTTCAAGGAATGTTCTAATGTCTGTTGCGGAGGTCAAGCATTCAAAGCAATTTTGATAAAATTTATTCCTATAATAAATTTTGAATTTTTTTAAAAAAAGAAAAGCTTTTGAGATTAATATAGGTCAGATCATTTCCTTCAAAGGATTTTGCTTACACCAAATACAAGTTGAAGACTTAAGATTTATGTGAAAAATTAACCTTTGAAGATAGCATAAAAGTACACTTGGCCACCTCCTTGGTATGATTGTAATGAACGGTGTGCCTGCTCCATCAGGCTGTGGGCTGACAGGGTAATCTTGGAATGGAAGTCGTCACAGATTGGGTTCCAAGAATGTCTCACAATTTGGGGGCTCCTGTGTTCCAGTTCAGCAGCTGTGTCATATTTTTAGTTACATCTACTGTGATGTCCACACAGTGAGTAGATGACCCAATGAACAACAATTTGAGAAAATGTGTTTATTGGGAAGGATTTTGCAGAGATTTTGACTATGGCAATTACCAGCACTTAGTGGCATGTTAAGCAGAAGAGGATCTTTATTAAAGTCAGCTGCTGAATTTCCTTTTGCTCCAGCTTTTCCTTTGGTAAAACTTGCCACTTTTACATTTTTAAAATCCAGGGATCCTACTGTCTAATAAAAGGAAACATGTTCTATCTGCTTGGGAGACTGTTTTCCCAGAAGTAGTTAAGGGCAGGCCAAAGTTAGCCAAATGATGAAAGTAGGAGGTGGTGTTTTCAGGAATCTGTATTAAATTAAAACTATGGTGCAAATATTTATTAACTAGGATAGAAGAAAGGAAAGATTTCCAGTAACATTTTTAGCTATTTAAAGTCTCAAGATTTTGCTTGTTTGTGGGTTATATTTCTGCAGAAGGTGGCACCGACTCCTACAGTGAAGAATCTGATTCAGATTTATCTGATGTGCCCGAGCTGGACTCTGATATTGAGCAAGAAACTCAAATCAATTATGATCGCCAGGTCAGTATGAAGGAGCAATAAAAAATGTGTAACCTGGAGCCTGGATCTCCTTAGATCTGGACATTGCTGAAAATGGCTGGGACTTACGTAGAAGAGAATGATGCCAAAAATAAGAAAAATTGACTACTTCTTGCCTTTAAATGCAATCTTAAAATAAAGCATTTGCCTTTTTAGATCATTAAAAACATTAAGTGGAAGGTAGTTGCAAAGTTCCAAAACTGAGCCCATGATAGTTGGGCTTTTTGCCCAGTGTCTTCCATCTAAAACTTATAAATTTATAAATATCTATGCATATATATATTGGGGGGTGGCTATTGGGGATGGAACTCAGGGGCACTCAACCACTGAGCGACATCTCCAGCCCTCCCCACCCTTTTTTTTGTATTAAGAGTCAGGGTCTCACTGAGTTGCTTAGTGCCTAGTTGTTGCTGAGGCTGGCTTTGAACTTATGATCCTCCCCTTCTGAGCCGCTGGGATTACAGTTGTGTGCCACTGCACCCAGCTAAAACTTATAACTATTTTTTTCAGAACAAAGAAATACCAGCTCTTGGTGGCATGTTAAGCAGAAGATAATCTTTATTAAAGTCAGCAACTTGTTAAGCTACAAGTTTTTCATTTTCTTAGTAAATTGTGAAAGCTTGTATTTTCAGGATGAGTACCTGCAGGATAGTTTGCACGTAGCTATTATCCTCATTGGTCTCCTAACTCATGGCAACCATTGTCCATTTAATTAAAGTAAAAGCAAAATTACAACATGCATTCTCTCTCCAGTCAGATCATATCTCATAGGAAAGTTGGTCAATTGCCTGCAGTTTTCTTGGAAGTTGACATTTCATCACTGTTTAGCACTAAAGAGTGATTTTTAAAGAAAACGGTCTTTCAGAGGAATCTGGACACTCACCACCTTGTCATTGGTGATGACCATAGGGTTTGTTTTCTTTCCTGTCATTTTTAAAGGTATGTTAAGCAGATTCTATACATGAATGTGAACTGAATAAGATGTCAGATTTCAGTGTTGTCCAGATAGGCAGGTGGCAGCTACTGTGCACCTGAGAGGTTAGGGGATATGCCCACTCTTAGCATAAGAGTGCTGGGAGATGGTATTAGCCAAATTCTATTGTTACTTTGTGTGCATGAATGAATATGTAATAACAAATCACATCATTATGTACAACTATAATGCACCAATAAAAAATGTGGAAAGGTGGGGAAAAGGAATCCTGATCTAGGTTTCTCCCCAAAGCATATATTCTGTGCACTACTTGGTTTGCCTCTATATCAGCACTGGATTTACTGCTTTTCAAATGATTACACTTTTTCCTGCCTATAATCATCACTCACTGATTTCGTGTTTGAGAAATTGGATTAGTTCAAAGGTGGTCCAACTTACAGTTCGTGATTAGATCAGCTGGACTATGTATTGATGGATGCATTATGCAGTACCACCACTGAAGAGATGGATTTGAAGGGAAATGATTAATGTGGGACTATCAGGCAAACACTAAACAACATACCCTGACATCAAGGGTAATGAAATTTAAGCAAAGCGAATGTTAGATTTAGGGGGCAAAGCCATTTTGCTTAGATGGACAGTTTTTATTTAATGAAATGATGGTAGTTAAAAAACGAAAAGACATGATGGTATTGAAATGCATGCCCAGGCTTATGGATTCTCCCTGACGTCTTATCTGTCAGTGCTTTTACCTATTATTTGGTTTTATGCTCTCAGCATTCCTGAGTTATTCCTGAGAGCAGGGACTTTCATTCTGTTCTACAGATGGGAAATTGAGGCCCATAGAAGCTACAAGACTTGATCAAATAAGCAGCAGAAATACCCTAGGATTTAGTGCTAGGAAGTAAATAATTGACCTGGTAAAACATCATGATCCAGGATCTGGTCTGTCAGGATGTGTGAGGCCATGAAAGGAAGAGAATTCCAGAGGGCAATCCAAGGGGAAAAAATGACTCAAAAATGACCCATTTTGCAAATGTCAGAATCAAGAGATTTCTTACTTCAGAAGAAGTAAAAATATATTTTATTGAAAATTTATTTTGTTTACTAATATATCAACTTAGTATATTTTTTCTGGATATAATATACCTAAGAAAAATAATAACAAATAAGAGGGGAAGAAATTACTTAAAATTCCAGTCATTTGGAAAATATTTCATGTTATTTTGCTCATTAAGAGGAAATAGTATTCAATACTACGTCTTATGTTTTCAAAACCATTTATTGAAGCTTCAATCCATCCAACAATGTCAAGATGTTGATGTTTTGAAACCTGGAAAAGGCATCTTAGCGGAATGACTCTGTTGTACTTTTCAGGTTTACAAAGAAGATCTACCTCAGCTAAAGCAACAAAGTAAAGAGAAAAACCATGCAGTGCCCTTCCTCAAACGGGAGAAGGCTCCTGAGGACAGCTTGAAGCTCCAGTTCATACACGGGTGGGTGGCCTGCCCTGGGCACCTGTGCTCCTTCATTATCTCTGCCGAGCCTGTCATCAGCCTTACCTCCAAGATAAAGAGGTCCCTCTTTCTGGTGCTCTTGTCCCCAGTTTGCTCACAGACCTGGGGCTAATGTTTTAACTATGACCCTTTCCAGTTTCCTCAGTGCGCCAGGGCCATCACACTGTGGTGGTCATTAGGCTTAGTGTTCTTCCTGAAGATCTGTGGCAGCTGGTCACAGCCATCCCTGTTTCCTCTCTCCCCCAATCCCTTGCTCTGTTTTGCTGGCATTAGCCTAGGACAGTAAATTCTCAAATATTGTTCTCACATATGCCTAAAATGATTTCAAATTTTGTAAAATTGTTTATGACTTTGCCCATTTGAAGTCTACCCCTGAAAGGTTTCAATGTAAGTTTAAATGGTGGAGAAAAATATTATATAAACATTCACATCAGTCATCTAAGTGAACCCAGAGGAACTTGAATGCCAAAATACTTCATGGACTTTTAAAATTAATAACAGGGGGAATGAACAATGCTTCCACCACAGAACACTTTATATCATTTATATTTCTACTGACACTCCTCTCTCCATTCTAACTCTCTCATAAATTTTACCTTAACATTTTTTTTGCTTGAGTCTTTTTAACTGTACCATGAGAAAAAAGCCTACATGTTCAACTAAAATTTCATTTCTTGTGACCATAACTCTGTGAAATACGTATCCACTGCCCCACATGGCTAGTGAGCACTTCAAATATAGCTAGTCCGAAATGAGATATGCTGTGTGGGTAAGACACCTATTTTAAAGGCTTAGGATGAAAAAAAGAAGGTATAATATCTCTTTAAAATGTTTTTATATCATATTTTAAATGGAAATGTGTTAGGTTAAAAATATGATCTTAAAATAAATTTCATTTTTAAAAATTTTGTGTGTATAATACTAGGGATTGAACCCAAGGGTACTTTACCACTTAACTACAATCCCAGCCCTTTTAATTTCATTTTTTTTTTTTTAATTTTGAGACAGGGTCTCTCACTAAATTGCTGAGGCTGGCCTCAAACTTGTGATCCTCCTGCCTCAGCCTTCTGAGTTTCAAGGATTGCAGGCATGTGCCACCACACCTGGATATTTTTATTATTTTTAATATGGCAACTAGAAAACTTGACTATGTGGCTTGCATTGTATTTCTATTAGACAATGCAGTTCTGTTACTTTTTTAGATTGAATTGTTATAATTATTAGTAAAAATGACCAAATCAATATAAATATATTACAAACTATGATAATTGTTAAGCACCAAAAACTTTATTAGATTTATTTCAATGAGATGAATTGTTTTCTATTCAGTTATCTGTGCATGTAGATTACTCATTGCTAGAATGTGGCAGAGTTTAGTGTTCACTCTATCCCCATGTTTTTTCTTTTTATAGATGTAAACACTGAGTTTATTCTCATAAATAAGTGAGAATGGGAGCTGGGGTTGTAGCTCAATGGTAGAGCACTTGCCTAGGATGTGGGAGTCACTGGGTTTGAGCCTCAGCACCACATAAAAATAAATAAATAAAGTTAACATGTCCATCTGTAACTAAAAAAAATTTTTTTTTTAATAAGTGAGAATGGAAGTGATTTTATCATGGCAATGTTGTTCAGTTCTTTATAAACTCCTTCTGTATTATAGACCCCCCAAATCACTTTTTTTTTTGGTACCAGGGCTTGAACCCAGGGGCACTCAACCACTGAGCCACACCCCCAGCCCTATTTTGTATTTAGAGACAGGGTCTCACTGAGTTTCTTAGCACCTCACTTTTGCTGAAACTGTCTTTGAACTTGGGATCCTCCTCCCTCAGCCTCCCAAGCTGCTAGGATTACAGGTGTGCACCACCAATGCCCGGCTCCAAAATCACATTTTGATTTTGATATATCACAAGAAATAGTGACCCATCAGCTAACAATTCACTTAAGTCTCTGATCAGTTTTGTTATAAAGCAAAAACACTGTAAATCACTTGACTTACAAAAAGGTCCCTTAGCAATAATTAAGAGTTTTCCCTAGTATATTGAATCGTCTGTTTTGGTGTCCCAGAAGGTTCTATGTCCCAGAGTAATACACCATGCTAAAATTCCACATGGAGGAGAGAAATGGCTTCCTGAAGTAGGAGGGAGGTCATCGTGGAAGGAGAGATGGGGAGGGAAGGCCTGTGCCTAATAACCACACACCTGTTCTCAGATCAGTTTTAAGAAAGAGCATACACAGTAGCTGAGGATCCTGAAACAGGCTCTGTTAAAATGATCAGTGCCCATGTGCCTCCTAGAAAGTCATCCCAGGCCTTTAGGGGTCCTTGTACCCCATTTGACATTTCTAGCCTATGGAGATACATGGGGTTCCACTTGCATCAGTGTGTTTTGCCTCTGATAACTCCTACCCTGTTCAGTTTCTGTTCATTCAACCCTGTGCATGCCTTGGGCCTGTGCTTCAGTTACAGAGGCTACGACTGTAGAAACAATCTGTTCTACACACAAGCTGGGGAGGTGGTCTACCACATTGCCGCAGTTGCTGTCGTGTACAACAGGCAACAGCATTCCCAGAGGCTGTACCTGGGACATGATGATGATATTCTGAGCCTGACCATCCATCCGGTGAAGGACTATGTGGCCACTGGACAGGTAAGTATCTCTCCTCCAAGACTGAGGGCCTCACCCAAGAGAGAGGGCATTCATGTGAACATGAATCCAGTTTATATGTTAGAAATGCAAAAAAGAAAAAAAACTTGGTAGAAGTAAACATGAGGCAGGAAGCTAAAGAATCAGTGAAATAGGATTGTTTCAGATGTAGTTCATATCTGGGGTGCATCCAAGGCTGAGATTGAGAGCATGAAGAGAGTCAAATCCCAGAAATGTCCATTTTGAGACAGAAACATCCATAGCTTTAGTATTTTTTTATAAAGAGATTATAATCTCCTGGAGATATGAACCACTTGTCTCCATGCTGATTTGCTGCCCCTCCAGCTGCAAATTAGAGAAGCTCTGCTGTGAGTTAGTAAATCTTACAACTGATTGAGCATTACTTTGCCTTCTCACCGGCACTTATTTTCTTGTCTGTCTCACAAATGGATGAAGCTTGGCTCAGGGGTATTTAATAACTTACCTTTGAAAGTAAGAATCAGAGATTGGTTCTTGGCACTCACCTGCAAGGAGGTAGGACACTCAGTATTGCAACTGGTGAGAGGCAAAGAGGAAGCCAGCAGCCATTGCTGGGGGACGGGGACTGGACCTCCACAGACCAGTGTAGGAGTTCTCTGGGTTCTACTCAGTTATGTCTATGGCTTAACCTTGAGTTTTCTCTTTTGGAGTCATCAGATTCAACAGTCATGTGTCTCCCCGCCCCCACCCCCACCCCCTATACTGTAAGTGAGAAAAACTACTTTGCTATTATAATTTGCTCTGTTGTTGAACCTCACATGATAAAAGCTTATAACCCTGCAAGGACAATCTATCTTAATGACACAGAGTCAAGCCATGAAACTTTCATTTCTCAGTGAGGGGCAGGGCCAGCCCTTCTAGAGGTGGGTGAAATCATTGAGAATGGGTAAAGAAATTCTTTTTTTTTTTTAAATATTTTTAGTTGTAGATGGACACAATACCTTTATTTTATTTATTTTTATGTACTGCTGAGGACTGAGCCACAACCCCAGCCTGGTAAAGGAACTCTTTATAGTGCCCTGACAGCACCCAGGTGAATTTCTTGCCTGAGAAGTGGACTCCTCACTTGTGACATTGAGAAGGCAAGAGAGGGAAAAGTAGAAGTAACTGACAGAAAACTCAAGTGGCTGGATGCAATGGTGCATGCCTGTAATTCCAGTATCTAGGAGCCTGAGGCAGGAGGATCACAGGTTCAAGGCTAGCCTCAGAAACTTAGAAAGAACCCACCTCAAAATAAAAAGGACGAGGGATATAGCTCAGTGATAGAGTGCCTCTGAGTTCAAAAAGATGGGGAAAAAAGTACAACTGGACATTTGAAGTGGGGTCCTGAAAGTCCCTTAACTTGGAGCCACACACCAGGACAGGCTTTGTTGGAACCCAACTTGGTGCCACGAGAAAGAAGCCTTAGATGCTTCAGTTTCCTCATCTGGAAAATAATGGGGTGGACCAAATTATTTCCAAAGTCTTCCCACTTTTTAAATAACATGCATTTCTTTTCTAAGCAATACTTGACTCTAAGGAACCAAATTGTATTTCATAAATTGTTTATAACACTCATCCTGTTGTTTAAGGTTGGAAGAGATGCTGCTATTCATGTGTGGGACACACAGACTCTAAAATGTTTATCACTATTGAAAGGACAACATCAGAGAGGAGTGTGTGCGCTCGATTTTTCAGGTGAGCACCAGTTTTTCATTAGAGCCATTGACAGATGAGCCTACATTTAATTTTATTTTCAAGTACTTGGTTGAGTTCTGTCTGTAATGAGGTATGCTCTCGGTGTGTCAACTACACAGTCTGAGGCTGGGAGTCATATTGTGAATACCTCACCCAAAAATGTGGCCTTTAGATTACACATCCTTTCCTTGTCTTCCGAATTTCCTCTCCCAAGTCATTACCCAGAGCTCACACTGAGTTCTGTGTTTGCTTGAGCAATTTGAAATCCAGAGCAGCTGTTGCCGTTGGAAGTCTTAGTTGCAAATGTCTGGCAGTGACTCAGAACATCAATTTCATCTCCAGATAAGTGGGAGCGTGTTGTTTCTGTCTTGAAATATAAAGAACCAGAAGGGAGGCTGCAAATCCTCTGCAGAGGAGCACTTTATAATATTAGTATTTTAGAAATAAATTTCATGTTGAAAAATGAGAACTAAAGCTTTTCTCTCCTCGATTTAAAATTTGAACACAGTATTTATAAAAATACTAATTGACGAATGCAATTTCTTTTATTCAAGTGGGATTTATAAAAGCCCTTTTACAGTCATTAAAAAAATAAGTTTGCAAAAGGAAAAAGACAGAAAAACAATGAACTTGCTTCTTGTGTCCCCAAAGAGAAAAAAGAGAGATGATGCCAATATGCAATGTAAGTGTTTTTTACACTAGAATTCAAGATTGAGGATCTATCATGAAAGATGTTAGTACATACACATTTTTAATCATTTCAATTGTAGGGATTAGTAGGAAAGAAATCCTAAACCATCTGTGTAAAACTGAGTTTTCTAAATACCATCCAGGTGTTTACATTTGGAAGCGATGCTGCTATTCAATGTGTGCATGGTTAGTCTGTCTCTAAATCCCATGGCTCTACAACCTCTTTCCCCTGGTAGGTCCCTCCCTCTCTGTTCCCCTTGAGCCAGTCCTTGCCTCCTCTTGTCTGCCCATAGTAATGCCATAGGCTTGGATTCCATCCCTGCTTATTCTGGAAGCATATTTACCGCTGCTGCCATCGACTCCCCAGGTTGGAAGTGCTTGGCTTTTCCTGATCTGGCCTCAACCTTCTCCTGCAACATTTTCACCCACTCACCCGTTCATGCTCCTCCACATTCACCTTGCTGCAGAACCTCCATTCACTCCAGTCCTCCTCCTACCTCTCTTCTTCCATCAGGGCTTTCCCATATGTCCATTCAAGTCCCACCATCATTTAAGACCAACTGAATGTTTTCTCCTACATCCTCCAAGGCAGAAATAACCTGTCCCTCCTTCTGTAAACCGTAGTTCATTGTTGTCATTGCTTTGGTAGCACCTGTCAGAATCTGTGTAGTACTGCCCTCCTTTGCCTTGCACACACAGTAAGCTAACAGGGGTGGCAGAGCCCTCTGTATTTTCCCACCACACATATTACAGTATTATAGACATAGAAACCATTCCAAAAATGCTGTAAATGAATGAACAAATGAGATCTTGCTTAATGAGCTTTGCCTTACCTCTCACTGTTACTTCTAGAACTTCACATTGTAAACCATGTTGAATGACAAATATTTGCATTCCCTGACCAGTGCCACACAGGCGGTATTTTGTTTTGGTAACATGCACGTTCTTACGTCCTGCAAACTACTCAACAAATCTGAGTTGTTATGTCGTTGTTAGGAGTTATTCACTACCTTCTGTGGCTATTAAGTTAGTAAAATCAAGGCTCAATAGTTTGTGCCTACACTGGTGGGTACATGATAGAAGGAGTTAGGAGTATGGAGGTAGAAAGAGCTGCCCAACCATGCCTACCTACAAGCTTAATGCAAGGGTGACACCTTTGATAAACAGTGAATACAAAGTCCTTTGAAAGTTTTGATGGACATGCAATTTTAAAGTAGGTGTGCCTTGTATCATTGATAAGGCAGTAAAATCTAAAAAGAAACTATAATTTTTGTTTGTATGTGACTCTATCCCAAAGATGAATGAATTCCCTCTGCTTTCCCACACCCCAGCCCAAATCTTATTCTTCAATGGCTGAACTACCTTCTTCCTAAAATTGATTTTTCTATTGGCTACATATGTATATGTAAGTATACCTCAGAAGAGTAGTGAGGTACCCACTAAAGTACCAAAATTAAATAAAACTAACAAACTGGGTCGTGGAACACACCTGTAATCCCTGCGACTATGGAGGCTGAGGCAGGAGGATTGCATGTTTGAGGCCAGTCTCTGCAAATTAGCAAGACCCTGTCTCAAAAAATAAAAAGAACTGGGGATGTAGCTCAGTGGCAAAATGCCCCTCGATTCAATCCCCAGAATCAAAAACAAATAACAGCCAGGCACGGTGGCACATGCCTGTAATCCTAGCAGCTTGGGAGGCTGAGGCAAGAGGATCGAGAGTTCAAAGCCAGCCTCAGCAATAGCGAGGTGCTAAGTAACTCAGTGAGACCCTGTCTCTAAATAAAATACAAAATAGGGCTGGGGATGTGGCTCAGTGTCTGAGTGTCTTCGAGTTCAATCCCCAGTACCCAATAAATAAATAAATACACAAGTAAATTAAAAAACCTAATGTTAACAGGATGATGAAAATCCAGTATATCCATGTTTTGGTGACATTGGAAATTGACTCAGTATTTTTAGCAAACAATTTGTCAGTGTTTAATAAGAACTATAATTTACAGTGTCAAGTATGCAAACTGTATTTCTTGCATATTTTTATGTATCAAGTAAAAGAATAAACTGAACTCAAAATAGCATCCATCACTGATTTTATATGAAAATGTGTGTGTTAAGATATAGAGTAGCAAATTTTGAATAAAATAAATAGAATATAATCATTAGACTATTTCTTCTATAGAATTGATTAGTGTTCTGGGTTTTATATTTAGAAGACTCAAAAGAACTCAGAGTTCCAATGTCTTTAGATAAAAGGATGAGCAGAGTCTTGATTGAAGACATTAATTATGAGATGAATTGATAGTGATGAGCTGGTACCCCAGTAGCCTGCCTCTGCATTTTAGGGAGCTCACCCCTCTCCTGGGCCTATTAGTTTTAGAGAAGAAAGAGCAAGAGATTGAGTTTAGAAATCCCTCCCTCAGAAGGCCACCTTTCAATTGATTGTCTGGGTAAGGAAACCAAATACCCCAGGAAGAGAGAGAGAAGCTGATTCTCTCCCTGCTAGTATCGTGAGCAAAAAAGAAATTCTTAGATGTGAAATATTTCTTTATAAGAGGAGCTTTTCAGACTTAATAAGAAAGTCTATTTTCCAGATAACAATCACTAGGGAAAAGCCCATTTATTCAGCAAATATATTATTTTTGATCATGGAGAATTACGTTTTTGTTTTAGTGGTTAAGAATGATGTTCATACATCAATGGTAGAAAGGAATCTAGTTGGTGGTTTTGGAAAGCAACTAATATGAAGGACTATTCAGGAAAGCTTCCACCCAGGTCTGTTGTGTGTGATTCGTCACCACGAATGATTACTGATAGTTGATGGATCCTTGAGTTCCTATGGCAAGACTTGAAAGAGTCGCGGTCTCTTTGGTTTAATTTTTCTATTAATAGCATTTTGTGTTACAACAATGTAACTTTAGACTTAGATCTCTTAGCCAAGACTGGAGTTGGCGAGTTTGGTGGCATGCCCTGGCTGACAGTCAACAGTGGCAGATCCAGAGCTAGAACCCAGGTCTCCTGGCTCTCAGTCCAGCATGATATCCAACAGACCCAGGTTTGTCAGCTGGCAAGAGGTATGCAGAGAATTCTCTATTCTTGGTCCCTGGGACTTCTCCTGCCCCTGCCTTCCACCAGAGCATTGGGTGAGCTTACTTATTTCGCCGCTTCACATCCCCACCAGCAGGTGTCTCCAGCTGTCCTTTCCATCCTCAAGGTTAAATGTGGAGGAGTACCAGGATGCACAGATACTACCACTGGTACAGTCCCCTTGCCCAGTGAAAAGAGACCCCTGTTCTGGAACAACCCTAAATCACACACTGATCTAAAGTAGGAACAGGGGCAACTCTACCTCCCTTGTGGAAACTGATAGAAAGTGGGTAGCTAAGTCCAAATCACAAGAGACTGTTTAGATTTGCCTGTTTAACCACGTAAACGAGGCACCCACAGAACGCTCATTGGTTATCTGGCTGGTAGCCCATCTGTGTGCCTCAGTAGCCCTGCAGCCACCTGTCTTTTATGAGTCATCTCCTTTTGGGGGTCTCACAGAGACCTGCTAATAGTACTTTGCCTTTTGTTAGAGAAATAAATTGTCCTGGAAATATAAAGCAGACAAATGATGTGAAAACAAGACAACAAATAAACATTTACACAAAAGAATTTAGTCTATTCTTGGCCACTTTTCCAAAGCAAACAAAAGACATTTTAACCAAACATCCCTTGCAATATGATCCATAATTCTGGATTACATGGACAGGAGTGAATGTATATTAACTAGCTCACTTAATGGAGCAGCTTTTTTAACTCTTGGATTTATTATCATTTTCTAAGGAAAGGGGAATCCATCTTTATTTTTGTGCTAATGGTAGCAAAAGTGCTTCTCCATAAATAGAAGACATATTAAAATTCAGCCACATAAATATTTTCTAGCCTGAATATCATATGTGTGTGTATATATATATATATATATATATATATTAAAACATTTATGGACTAATACTAATTTCCATAAGAGCACATCCAAGACTAACCTGATTTCATTGTGTTCAGTTATAGAAACCTATGCATTTTTTATGAGCTCAGAATAGGAGGACCAACTTGTAATTGTCTGAATAAAAAATTTCTTTCTAATTTGCCCTTTACTGTTGACATTAAGTGCCTTAGAATTATTTCTGGACTATGTCACAACCATCCATAATTAATACATACTGTGACTAGAAATATTTGAGAGGACATTACTTAGACTCTAAAAATATGGGCAAAAATTAAAAAAAAAAAATAGCCGGTCAGGGAACAATAGATATTCAAAGCTAAGGTCAAGCCTCTGCAGGGGAAATGAAAACCAAGAAGAACATAAAAAGGTAAACAATCATATTCCAAACTCTGTGGCATGCAGAAATAGTTTACGCCTGCAGAATACAAGAACAAGTTACCATTTCTGAAGAGAGGTGTGGCTATTGAGGTACCTCTGGGATGGTACCGTTTCTCCTGTTGCTACCTCCAATCAGGATACTCTTGTGGGAAGTCAAGGTGGTATAACTGAGGATAAGCTAATTGAGCCTGGTAGAAATTCTAAAAATCTCCCCCCTGCTGTTCACACATTCGCTTACTGTTTAGTCTTCTTCATAATAAAATCTAAAAAACTTGGTGTGAATATACTTTGTATACAACCAGAGATATGAAAAATTGTGCTCTATATGTGTAATAAGAATTGTAATGCATTCCGCTCTCATATATAAATTTCTAAAATTAATTTTTAAAACTGTCTTTTTAAATATGCAAATGTTTGTATCTCATGAACGGCATATAATATAGCTCCATTGTTTTGAAAAGACAGCCTGAGAGCTGGAGACATAGCTCAGTGGTAGAGTTTTTGCCTATCATGCACAAGGTCCTGTGTTCAATCCCCAGCAACACCACACACACACACACACACACACACACACACACACACAGCCTAAAGTATAAAATTAATGAATATAAAAAAAGACATTGAATATTTGTTCAGTGTTTTTGGAAGGAATGATAATTAAAACAAAGTTTTTATAGCTATATAAGGTGGCACATTTCCGTACCACCTTTGGGCATATCCTGTATTTGTCATCGTCCTCATTACTGTCACCAGCACTGTGAGCAGTCACTGAAAATCAGTTCAGTGTGACAATTATGAAGGAAGCCTGATACAATTACCATGAGCCTTAAAACAACTTATGGTCTAAAAAGGGAGAGAGAAAATGACAAAAATAAAATCACCAAACACAGGGGCACACTAACAGAAACATAATCAGGCCATACCAAGAGATAAGGAAAAAGTAATAGTGTTGGTAGGGAATGGGCTGTCATTACCAGTTCTTCTCCCATATGCATGAAGAGTTTTTTACCCAATTTAAAGTCTGATAACATTTAAGCATAAGCACTTATTATGATCAGTTGTTTACAGTAATCACCTGATAGCTATTTAGTCCTGTCGTAAAGTATTAATGTCTTTATCTCATACTCTTGCCTAGGAGTTTGAAAGGGTTGACCTAACCCTTAAATCCTTGCCTAGTCCTTAGTTGAAGTTTGGGGAGGATCTGGTTTAGGCAATTTCTTCTGTTCCCTTATTCTCCTCCTTCCTCCAAGCAAGAAGGAGCAGCTCCCCATTCCATTTGGTTAGCGGAGGGTCACTGGCATAAATAGGGGCGCTCAAAAGGTGGGCATTGGTTGGCACTTGAGGTAGGGTTGCCAGATTTAGCCAATAAAAATACAGGAGGCACAATTAAATTTCAAACAGACAACAAATAGTTTTTTAATATAAGCATGTTCCAGGCAATATAAGTTTAAATATACAATACGATATAAATACTGCATGGGACATACTTATACTAAGAAACTATTCATTATGTATCTGAGATTCCAATTTTACAAAGCTTCCTTTATTTTGCCTGGCAAACCTAATTTGGAATGTACCCCAGGTCTGCTGTTGAAACTAACATTGAGTGGACCAGTAGGCTCAGGAGAAGCAGTTTATCACATATTTGATTTGTAACCCTAATGGCTGGTATGTCGAGACAAGACCCTGATAAACTGATGCAAAGCGAGCTGGATCACTCATCTCCTAGCAACCGCACAGCTGGGTTGGGGGGAATGTTAACCTTGAGATGCTTTTCCTTTGAATCTAGCCTTGCAGCGAGGCAACAAATAAATGGCTACTGATTGTACCTCTTCTTCTGTCTTGAAAGAAAAAAGAAAATTAATTGTTTTTACTTCAAATTTAATTTTACATTCACTGTGTTTAAATTTTTTTTGAAAATAGTCTGTGTCCAAGTTCTAGTAAATCATTGATAATATTGAAATACTTAATAAGGAAAAATGTTCATGACATAATAGATGAGAAAAGATTAGATGATGGGTGCACTGTGATCCTGGTTTTACTTTTTCAAAGCACATTTATGTATAGAAAAAGAGTGGTAATATATATATCAAATGTAGTCCTAGAAATTGGGAAGGTATTAGCATTCTCTTTATCCGTATTTTCTAAGTGTCCTGTGATAAGTGTATTACATTTGAAATAGGAAAAATAAGAAATTAAGACTTTTTATTGTAAAATCATCTTTTAAAGGAAACTTAGAAGCTAAATTTAGTTTCTATAACACTCTTGCTTTAGAGGATTAAACCAAAGCCAATTTTTTTAGAGTTGAAAATAGACCAAGAGTGACAAAGCCAAATGTCTCTTCCAGGGAATGTCAGGAAACCTGTCAGTCACTAAACAGACAAGTGTTTTTGTTACTTACCTGAGAAGCTCTGCCATAGCTCTGTGTCTCAGATTGAAAGTGGAATCAGCAATGGACTTCAATAACCAGTTATGAGGCATTAGAAAGTTCGACTATTGCTGGTCATGCGTTTCATCCTCTAAGGTCCCTTCGGATATGATATTTCTAATGTATTTGAGCTTAAAGAATTTAAAGTCAATTTTTTGTTCCTCTTTACAGTATGTAAAATGTTTTGATTTATCCTGGAAGAAGCAAGTCACTTGACATTTGTGTTGTTTTCACACAGCTGATGGAAAATGCCTGGTGTCGGTTGGTTTAGACGATTTTCACAGTATTGTATTTTGGGACTGGAAAAAGGGAGAAAAGATAGCTACCACAAGGTAAGAAGCTGCCCTGATCTAATGGTCTCCCGCTGACATCACACTTCAGTAACAGTTGATAGTTTTCATTTTCTGGTAAGATTTCATCTTCTCAGATGAAATTCACCTAGCAAGCTTAACACCCGAGCGAAAACATTGCTGTTTCATGGTGCCAGCCCTGACGCAGAGCAGTTAATGTTTGTTGTGGGGAACTGGAAAATTCTGAAATGCTTTCCAGAGAGCTCTTATCACTTGCAGTTTTTAGTAATTTTTGTGTTATCTCTATCAAAGCTTTTTACCAGCAGCAAAAAAGCAGCTTTTCTTGCCTTGGCCCTTCTTTTTCCTCTCTGTCTTAGCATCTGTGAAGGATTGTCAATGTCACTGGAGTCAGAAGCACCATTTGTCAAGAGGCTGGGGCCTGCTGGAGAGGAGGCCCCGTCGTGCGCATCTGCCACACGCTTTCCAAGCAGGCAAATTGTTTCCCTAATCTCCCCATCTTATAAATAGACTCTTCAAAACCAACTGCTGTTTATAGACCACCTGTCCTCCCTTACCCCGGCCTCCCTCCCTGCTGAATCAGCACGAAGTCCGAACATTACTTTCCACCCTACTTTCATGTAGCTCAGCCATGTGCCCAGCCCTGGTCAGAGGTCAGAATAGTTGGCAGCAGAGGCCTAGCAATACAACTTGTTGTCCAGGCACAGAGTCATACCTCCCGACGCCCTTCCTTCTATTACTAACGTCCTGTCTGTCTTGCAGAATAAAAGCATTTCTAAGTTAATGGTCTTGAACCCCCAAGTATTCACTTTTCAAATGAATACTATCCTAGACAATGTTAGATGATAGGAGGGGGAAATTTTTTTTGGCAATTCAGTTTAATGAATGAAGATCTGCAGGTTGCTGGAAACTGAGCAGATGGAGCCCTGAGGACTCCAGCTGACCTTCTTGGGAGAAAAAGAAAAGCTTTTCTGATGACTGCTATCGGGATGGAATTCTTGGCAGCAATGGTGGTTCATAAATCTGCCCACCAAAGTGGTTTCTCTGTCTTTCTTTCTAGAATCTCTCACTGTTGTACATTCCTCTCTGGATTTCAGGTTCAGCTCCTAATCAGAACTTCCTTTTCCTCTTAGAATACCAAATGATGCATTTTAATTTAATATTATTGGAAACACACTATCTGCATTTATAGATAATCTTAGGAAAAATACATGTCTGCATTTCAAAAGCAACAAATGCAATTTTTCCTGCTAGAAAACACTCTGTGAGTGGCTCATCAGTTATATGCCAGACACATTAATAGAAATAGAAGAAATAAATATTTCTTTTTTTAATATATTTTTTTAGTTGTAGATGGATGGATATAATACCTTTATCTTTATGTGGTGCTGAGGATAGAACCCAGCACCTCACATGTGCTAGGCAAGCAATCTACCACTGAGCTATAACACCGGCCCAGAAATAGAAGAAATATTTCTTAACATTAAAAAGCATTATCATATGCTTGGTGTGAAGTATCATGTCTATGTAATTAACATACAGAGACTTAACATTGTATGTTAATAACAGAATTTATATTTGGAGGGCTGGGGATGTAGCTCAAGCGGTAGCGCGCTCGCCTGGCATGCATACGGCCCAGGTTCGATCCTCAGCACCACATACAAAGATGTTGTGTCCACCAAAAACTAAACAAATAAAATTAAATTTTAAAAAAAAAGAATTTATATTTGGAGTTGTTCCCAAGCCTTATGACCCATTCCAAAAACAGGAAACCTGCAGCGTTGCCCTCAGAGAACATTCTTGTAATTATGACATTAGCCAGTGCTCTTTCCCAGGAGAAATGTCAAGGATTGCTAAAGTTCTGTAAGAGCACTAGATTGCAAAATAATTAATAAATAATGTACACAAACACCTATTCGTGTAATATTAACAATAATATCTAAATAAGTATGTAAATAACCAACCAGAGAAATAAGTAAAAATTCTGTTTATGGCATTAACTTGGTATGCCGAACTAGATAGAAAATTTTTAAAAAAGAAAGCATATATCATATAGTTGGGTAGAATATCATTTCTATAAGCTTTAAAGAAGTGACAGAAGTAATGCTGTTGTGAAATGGTCCCTTCCTGACTTTGGGAATCCTCTTAGCTTTGAGAGGGCCAATTTATACTTAGAGAAAGGCTGACTCTGACACCCCTTTTTGCACTCTGTGTCTTGGTCACTGCCAGCCTTACCTCCAGCCAGGCTTAACTACAAACCTGCTTCTGGCAGGCTGTATTGTTCCAGCATGACATTGTTCTACAGTAGTGCCACCACCCAGGATGTGAGCCATCCATGGCTGAGATGGTACTGCAGGCAGTGCTGCTGGGGCCCAGGGCACACACAGTTCTGCCCTTTTATGAGTAACCCCATGTTGGTGAAAATGTTTATATGAATCTACTCTTTATCAGCTCAGAGAAAATTGAAATTGGCGCATAGAGATCTTGAGATCTCCATGAGATTGACCCAATCTCTTTGAACATTAGCTCTGTGTCTTTGCTAATTTTCATTAGTGATTTCCAGTATCTCCATTACAAATGGAGTTTTTAGTCTTTTTTTTTCCTTTTAAAAGTTGTTTGCTTTATAGTCAAGTATACAAGTAGCCCATTCAGAAACCAAGGCCAGTCTCTTCCAAGCAATAGTTAAATAACCTAATGTCAGTGGCCATCATGGCAGAATCATGAGAATATTAATGAGGCTCCTCTGTGCTCCTTTATTTGGATTTACTTTCTCTGGTAACATGACTAGGGGGGCCATGACTAATTATTTTTGACATGCTTTGCCCCAGAACTTTGAATGTGAGGGATCTTAGACAAAAGTATACAATTATTGAACTGCTAAACAATAATACTTAGAATGTCCATCTCCAATGGTATTGGTATGAGAAAGCTTAGGGACAGAATGTGGGCCCACAGACAGCAGTGCTACACCAGAACTCTTCTGAGTGAGGGATCCTTGAAATAAAGGAATCTTGCTTACAGAGCTAGTACAGATGCTAACCAGACACAGGACCAGATCCTCGAACAAGACTAACAGATAGCTCTAAGTCCAGTGAACATTTTTCTAAGAACATTTTTATAATGAAAATTTGGGGAAAGAAAGCACAAGTTGCTTACATTGAACCTCTATTGGCTCTCGATGAGGTGGGAGGGTGTGGATGACAGCAAGCAGGAAACGCTTTGGGATAGGATAGGACATAAGGAAAAGCCATTGTTGCAGTGGCACCTAGAGGCTCGTGATGGGATTCAAGGTAATGTTTTAACTTATATTCGAGAATGCGAAATTGTCTTTGTTGTTTTGGTCCCTTAGCTGTTAGCCAGCTCATCTATCCCATCTGTCCTCCCCTCCATCCTCCCAGCTCTTGTAATTAAATTTAGGACATCTCAATTTTTTTTCCCCTTCTGATCAGCAGAACTTCAGAGTAAGCCTTTTCTATATTTGTTTCATTGGCTTAATCTATTTTTAGGTGCCTGACCTTACATACATTTAATGGATATGGTAGAGCCTTCTGCATAGTTTATCGGCACTTTAAAAATGCCTTTTAGAAGCGCATACCTTCCATTCATAACCCTTTCATTTGCATGGATGCTCAGTGCTGTGTGTGATTTTGTTTTCTGTCTTTCCAGAAAGTCATCCATGAAGAGAAGACTGAATGTTTGACTTATCTCCAAAACAGATTTAAAACGTGCATTTTAAAAATGTACATCTCTTCTTTAAAATAACATGTTCTCTGTTTTCAAAATAAAACATAATCATTAGAGAAAACTGAGAAAGCACAGAAAGTCACCAAGAAGAAAATGAGAATTGTCCACAATACCCATACACAGCCATGGTCAACATTTTAGCATGTATTTTTTTCTCATTTTTTTTAAGTTGTAGATGGACATAATACCTTTATCTTATTTGCTTTTATGTAGTCCTGAAGATCGAACCCAGTGCCTCACACATGCTAGGCAAGCCCTCCACCACTGAGCTACACCCACAGCCATTTTAGCATGTATTCTTAATATGTATTCTGCTAGAATTCAGATTTATTCATGTGTGGGCTCTGTAACTGGCTTTTTTCACATACTAGTATATCATCTCGCTATCTTTTATGTTACATGGTTATTTTATTTTCTAAATCATTTAATATCTGTTTTGGATGGGGTATAAATCAAACATTCCTTCAGTCTTCCCATTATGGACCAACTTCATGGAAAAGATAGAATCTTGCACAGCACTCTCTATGCCAATGAAAGGGTTACAAATGGAAGTTGTGGAACCCAAGCTACGTAGCACGGCCTTGACTACCAGAAGAGGTTCATTCCTTCCCCTCTGTCCTGTACTTGCTGAGAGGGTGTATGTGGCCCAGCATGGTAGTTACTTATGACTCAGGCATGAGGAATTGTCTGGTAGCAGGGCAGCAATAACAGTGTTCTACATTCTTAAGTTTATATGTCTACATAGCTCTAAGTTTGGGACTGAAACTGCATTTTTTCTTATACAATCATAAGCCACTTCTCTGCAAATCTAATAAGCATCTGAAGGAAAAATGACAGGAACCCAATCAGTGTTCTTTATTTAGAACATTTGCTAAACATTTATGTGCTATCATTTGCCAGTTTAGAACTTTAGTCACAACCAAAACAACATTGGTGTTTCTATGACAATGAGAAATTACGTAAAACTAAAAAGTTTACCTCAAAGATTTTTCTGAATGTTCACATTTGTATAGACACAAGCAAACAAAATTTTGGTTTATTTTTTTTTCCTGTAGGAAATGTAATTTGTCATATTTGCTTTTAGTTTTCATTTGGGGTCTCCCTAGCTTCTTTCCAAAATATGTATTAATGATTTAGAGTTTGTGGGGATTTTCTGCCAATCAAGAAATCTTTGGATGTTTAAAGTCTTTAGGTTATCTGGTGCATTGCTCCTCTTAAGCACTTTTTCCTCTTTCATCTAAATCTTTTTTCTCTATGTCCTAATTATTCCTGATACATCTGGTGTTGTATAATGGCTCTAGTTTCCATCTCAACTTTTAACTCTGAAAGAGAGAAAGGGAGAGAGCCCCCAAATACATCCATCTCTTCTCCCCACCTTTCACTGTAGGGCTCACATCCTTGTAGCCATAATGGGTCAGAAAATGCTGATTTTTTTTTCTTCCAGCTTTTTATTATGGAAATTTTCAAAGTTATACAAAATGGAAATAACAATAAAGAATCCCCTTATGTTCATTGCCCAACTGCAATAATTATCAGCATCCTGCAAATTGTGCCTGTCTCTCCCTCATTAGTTTTTCTTTTCTTTTTTTCCACCAAGAATATTTTAAATTTAAAGTATCATGTCATTTGGTCTCTACATATTTCCCTAGGCATTTCTGACCAAAAAAAGGTACATTTTTACAAATCACCATGCCATTATCACAACTAACTACAGCAGCAGTCATTTATTTCTTTCATCTATTCCCCAATTCATAATCAGACATTTCTGATTGCTTCAAAAGTGAGAATTGGTTTGTTGGAATAAGCATCTAAACCAGGCCCTGGTGTTACATTTGGTGGTTGTATCACTTCTCTTTTACTCTATAGCACACCACATCCATTTTTTTCCCTGTCCTATTTGTACTGAGGAACTGGGTTGTTTGACCTGTAGCATGTTTCACATTTTGGACTTGACTAACTCTTCAAGAGATCCTTTTAGTCATTCCTCTGCATTTCCTATAAATAACAGTTTCATAGATTTGATTAAATTCACATTTGATTTTTTTAAAAAACAGATTTATTAGTAAATAGTTCAAATACCTTGTAAATTATATAATGCCACTTAAATTATATGGTTTAGTGACTTTTTTACACATTTATAGAGTTGTGCAATCATTACCGCTAATTCCAGAACATTTTCATCACCCTGAACAGAAATCCCTTACATGTTAGCACTAATTTGCATTCTGTCTCTATGAATTTGCCCTTTCTGGACATTTTATATAAATGGAATTATATAGTATAAGATTCTTTATGGTTGACTTCTTTCACTGAACATAATTTTTGAAGATTCAGCCATGTCATAGAAGTTCAATACTTTATTTTTTATTGCTGAATAATAATTTTTATATATATCAGATTTTATTTATTCATTAGTTAATGGATATTTGGATTGTTTCCACTTTTTTGACCATTATGAATAATATTGCTATGAACATTTGTGTACAGGGTTTTGAGGGAATGTTTCATTTCTCTAGAGTATGCATGTGTGTGTGTATGTATATCTAGGAGTGGAATTGCTAGGTCATATTTTTAATTATTTTCAACATTTTGAGGAACTGACAATGTTTTTTAAAGTAGCTGCCCATTTGCTATTCACACTAGCAATGTAAAAAGGCCCTAATTTCTCTAATTCCGAACATTTCTTACTGTTCTTTTCATTCTCCCCGTCCTAGTGGATATGAAGTGGTATCTCATTTGCTTTTGATTTTCATTTCTTTGATGGCTCAGGATGGTGCACATCTTTTCGTGTGCTTTCTGATCATTTTGTCAGTAATTTCAGACACAGAACTCGTATTTTTAAAAACAATTTTTTTGTTGTTGTTGTAGGTGGACACAACACCTTTATTTTTATGTGGTGCTAAGGATCGAACCCAGTGCCTCACATGTGCTAGGGAAGTGCTCTACCACTGAGCCACAACCCCAGCCCAGTGCCCATGTATAATAGGATTATTGAATGACCCTTATCATGTGTATGCCTTGAAAGTATTTTCCTCATTCGTTTGGGTTTTTAGACAAGAATATTTTATAAATACTTCTGGTTGCATCACATCAGAAGAGAGGTGATCAGTGACATAGCAGAGGGTAGGAGTGATGGAAGTGGCACTCCCAGGTGTGAGTGGTAGGAGGTGTGTTATATGTAGAGAATTTGAAACTAATGACTCCAACTAAAAGCCACTTTTTGTTATTCCCACTCGCTGGCAATTCTCAACAATGCCAGTGATGGAATTCCTTCCCTCCAGGCTGCCCTGATCCTCCAGCACCACCCTATGGTCTACCACATCCCAAAATGTCTACCTGCCTATTCAGCTTGACTGGTTTCTGATGTATCAGCCTGGTCCTTCCATTACACAGCTTTTCATCTACATATCAGCTAATGGATACCCGTTGACAACTGTGGGCTAAATTGACAATTTAAGTAGGGATTAAAAATGGTAATTTTCAGATTCTGTCATTCATTCATATTAGCTAGAATTCTATAAGAGATTTCCCTCATGGACTGTTTGGTTTTTCTAAAACACAATTCACACAGAAGGCAGTTCTTTAAATATTAGGGTTATTTGTCCTTTTTGTCTATAACGTGCAAATATTTTTCTGTTTGTCTTTTTGTCTTTGAAGTTTGCTTTTGCGCTTTTCATTATGCAAAAAGGTTTTATTTTTACGTAGTCAAATCAATCTTTCCTTCTACTGCTTTGGGATTTTGAGTGGGATTAAAAAGGAACCACCCATAATTTCTTCTAATTGTCTATGGCTTAATCTTTTACATTTTAGATCTCTAAGACATTTAGAATTTATCCTAGTATTTATTGTAAGGAAGAGCTCCAACTTGATCTTTTACCATATGGTGTCCAGGTGTTCCAGACACCACTTATTTCTTTCCCTTTTTGAAAAGACTTTATTTTTTTAGGGCAAAATTGAGCAGAGGGTACAGAGAGTTCCCCTCTAGCCACTGTCTCCCACTCATGCACAGGCTCCTCTACTATCACCGTCCCCCACCAAAGTGGAACATTTATTATAAATGATGAACTACATTGACACACCATTGTCATCCAAAGTCTGTGCTTAGAGTTCATGCTTGGTGCTGTCCATTCTGTAAGTTTTATTATATACTATAGTTTTACATTCCTGTGGGTCTCTTCGTGGATGTTCTGTTTACCATTTTCCCATCAGTTAATTTATGCACTACCTGCCATACTGTTTTCCTTATGGAGCCTTTATAATTATTTTTTAATATCAAAGAGAGCTACTTTTCCACTTGGTTCTTTTTTAGAGTTTTCCCATTTGTTATTCTCTATAAAAACTTAAAAATGTAGGTATCCAACTCCAGATTAAAAAAAAAACTCAAATGCCCATTGGTCTTGTTATTGGAATCAGGCTTGAATTTATAAAGTAAATTAAGGAGAATTGAGATAAAAGATCTACTTTTCCTATCCCAGGAGATGGGATATGGTTCTGGTTTTTTTTAAGTTTGTTATTTTTACAGATGTGGGTTTTTTCTCTCTCCTCAAGGATATATGTTATATGCTTCTTGTTAAATTTATGCCTTGATATTTTTGTTGTTGCTTATAAATAGTCCTTTCTTATATTTTCAACTGGTTATTGTATATGTAAAGGTTTTCTCTATTTAATTTTATATTCTGCAAGTTTACTAAATTACCTTGTTTGTAGTCACTTTTACGTTATTTTGAGTTTTCTAGATGTACAATTATATTATCTGCAAATAAAGGTAGTTTTACCTTTTTCGTTCTAGCTCTCTGTCTTTAACTTTTAAATCTTGTTTAATTGCACTAGTTAATATGTTCAATGCAATGTTAAATGATAGCAGTAATAATCTTGTTCCTGACTCTATTGGGAATGCCATTAAGTAAAAAAAATCTGACTTTGGGGTATACACACACATACCATGAATATGTTGCTGTTCTAGCATGTTCTATCTTTAATGAAAGGATGATGTCATGGCATGCAACATGTTCAGAGAATCAACCTGTACAGTTGACTGAGTTTCTCAAGGACAGGGAGTACAAGGAAATGTAAATGTCAAGGCGTGCAAAGTCTGAAATGTCCTCTAATCCCTATTTTATTGAGTATTGGGTTTTTTTTAAATCCATGAATATTAGATTTTTGACCAGTAACTTTTTAGCTTCTGTAAAAATGAAAATATGATTTTTCTCCTTATACCTATTAATATAAGTTATATTATTTGATTCCTTAATGTTCAGCTATTCTTGAATTTAATCATAATTTATTATTTTTAATATGTATTTGGATTCTATTTGCTAATATATTTTATTTAAGGTTTTTTATACATAAGAGATAATGATTAGTTGTTTTTCTTTTTGTTAATGGGATTTTTTAAGCATAACAAAAATTATCTGCTAATATATCAGAGAAGACTATCAAATAGTGCCTTAAGAACAGGAAATCTGTAGAGTCCAATGTGATGGCTTTGTACTCTAAAACAGAAATTTCCCTGATACCAGGTCTTATAGCTCAGGTGTATAATCAGTCCTTACTTTTATACTTGCCTTTCTGCCTCTTGGTTATAAATCTAAATTTCTGAACATTTAGAATCCTAAAGTGCCTTGAATCAGTAGGTGACATCTTTTCTCTTTTCATTGGCTTCTATTTATAGTGACTACATTCCTAACCAAAAATCTGTGTAAGCCAAAGCGATGCCTTCTACAGTAAGAATGGTACATTTGAAGCTTTTCGTTAATATTATTGCAGTACCTTTTCCTTCCTACTGTGCAGGATCTTGATATCACCAGAATTACTTGTAGTCCCACCATGGTAGCATTAATTTTACATTATGAAGACATTCAATACATATTAAATATTTCATTGATTTGTTTAAAGCATAAGTAAGTGGACTTTGGTAGCAATATTAGGGTAAGAATAAAGATCAAACATTCACAGAAAAGCCAAAGCTCATTATTTTAATGTAGACCCCCAGGTGCATTTCAAAATTATTTTCTAATTAAGTTGTTGTGTTGCATGTGCTTTTAATAAGCACATTTTAATGTTTTAATCTAAACTAGATTTTTTAATTTGTTTCTTACAGAGGACATAAAGATAAAATATTTGTGGTAAAGTGTAACCCACACCACGTTGACAAGCTGGTTACAGTTGGGATGAAACACATCAAATTCTGGCAACAAGCAGGTACTATCATTTGGGTTGATTCATGTATTTAAAAGCTTTCCTTGAGCCAGGGACTAAGGATGCAGGACCATTGACACTATGTGGCCTGTCTCTCTGCAAATTAATATAAAAATGCACCTAAGAAATATCATTTCCCAAATTTACATTGGATTGTTTAACGTCTAAGCTGAAATTTAAATACTAAATGATGCCATGCATATTCATCAGTGTCTAGAAAGCTTGGGAAATATTCTGCTATAAAAATTATAATTCTTATATTTAGTCATCTGTACTGAAAGCAATAATTATGTTGGACTAATGAGCAGGAAATAATCATTTTGGGTGAATAAAGCTTTCAATATTTTGAGGGTTCTATTATTAATCTATTACTGAATTTAGTACACAAATTAAACTCTGACTTTGCACACAGTATTTATGGATTACATGTTGACAGTAGCGATGGCTAAATAAGCTTGACACGACATTGAAGAGTATCTTACTTTTCTCACTAATAAGCCAGACTCATTATTGCAATTATTTCTGAATTCTCAGTATCAGCTTTGGTTCTAAGCTTAATCTTTTTTTAAATATTCTTTTTAGTTGTAGATGGACACAATACCTTTATTTTATTTATTTATTTTTATGGGGTGCTGAGGATTGAACCCAGCTAGGCAAATGCTCCACCACTGAGCTACAACCCCAGCCCCTCCAAGCTTAATCTTATGATGCACAAAACATAAATAGGCTACAGTTCCGATGCTTTCCACTTATAAAGGAAGAAGAATTGGTGATATGTGTGGAGAGCCAACCTGGGTCCAGAGGTCCTGAATGGAGCTGGGTGTCTCAGCAATAGGGAGCATTGGGAAATGGGAACATCAAGGGAACAAACCTGATGGTTTGTCACCATAGATACCACCTTCTTCAACATGACAATTGGTTCTCACCCCCCAAATTGCTGTGAGAAAAACTGAGGCAGAACATGTATAGCATGTTTATATTTTACATGTCCAGCCAGTCCTGACTATTTTTGATCAGCATTCATGAAGACTTTCCTTGTGCTCCAAGACACTTAGTCAACCTTTCCTCTGGCTGGCACAAAACTTTCACTGAGCCTTGGTTAGATGCAAACCTTAGTCTGAGATGCATATTGGGTCCTTTCTCTAGACAGACCCTACTTCCTTAAAGGCAGGAACTCTTGCTTTTCATCTTTATATTCCCCAGCATTGAGCACTGTCAGTTTGCCTGCCACAAAATAGGGACTCAGTAAATACTGAATGAATGAGAAACACTTCTATGTTATGTTTTGTTTATGATATACTCCATTGTTTTTATACATCTTTCTACATATAACGCTCACACTCTGGGCCTTTCGTTGAAGAAAATAGTCTTCCCATATGCTTATAGAAGGTACCAACTTTTTAAAAAAGTAATGTTTACTCTGGGTCTACTCCAGGTGGGGGCTTCACCTCTAAAAGAGGAATTTTTGGAAGTGCTGGAAAACTGGAAACAATGATGTGTGTCTCTTACGGGAGGATGGAAGATCTGGTGTTCTCAGGAGCAGCTACTGGAGATATTTTTATTTGGAAAGATGTCTTACTACTGAAGACAGTGAAAGCTCATGACGGACCTGTGTTTGCTATGTACGCGTTGGATAAGGTGTGGTATGAGTTTCAGAATTCTTTTCCTCATCAGCCCTCTAAAATTATAAGGTGGTCTCAAAAGCCTGCTAAGAGGATGCCTGGATCTAAAAATAGTCCTGATTTAGGAAGTTGTTATCATGGAAGCTCCAATCAAAGGAAGATAAGGAGAATGCGTATATTTTTATAGTTTCTCTTTTGTTTCTTCATGTGCAATTTCTCCACTTTTTCACACTTGCACTTCTAGCTTTCACCACTAAGAGTCCTTTAAGTGTCCGGATAAATGGGAACTCTGTAGCAGAAAAGTCCTGAAGTATTTCATCATTGCTGGCTCTTCAGTGACACAATGGACCAAGACCAGGAAGTCCCAAGTGGTTGGATTATTGTTTTACACATCAATTAGTTATGAGTCCCTTTCATGAAATGACATAGTGTTTGTATATAACTTTTGTATATGTTACAATACCTAATATTGTAAATACTATATAAATACTTGTAGTTCTGAATTTTTTAGGGAATAATGACAAGAAGAAAAGTATTACAGATGCAGTGCTTTTATTTCCCTTATATTTTCAATCCTCCAAAGATTCAGAGGGCCAATTATAATAAGGATATTTAATGTATTAAACTCCAAAGTAGTATTTCCTGTGAGCTTCATTGAAGTGCATTAAATTAAAAGTTTGAGAAAATAATTCAGTATTTTTTCCTTAAAAAAAAAAAAAACTTCCATGAACATTTGGTGTGTAGATAAATTGCCAGAAAGGAAAACTAATGAAGCTAATAAATCATAAGCTGGAACAAGAATGAAGATCACTGTTCAGTAAAAGAATGCTCAGCATGTTAAGCTTTTTACTTTCCAGGTTTTGTAAAAATTAATCTGGATATTAATTATTATGGAAATTATTGAACAAAACAGCAATATGACTTCATAATATTAAGTACTTAAGTTATTCTTAACAACAAATAATATTTTCTCTTGGAAGTTCCTAGTTAATCTTCTAAATATTTAACAATTCCCCCTGTACTGGACCTAGCACCTCACACATGCTAGGCAAGCCCTCTACCACTGAGCTACATCCCCAGTCCTTGACAATTGTTTTTAATTGTGATGTTAATCCCAGTTCATTTGGTGGGTATATATGAGATACCAGGAGCTCTGCTAGGTTTTGAGGCTCTTCCTGTCCCATGGGAATCCAGTTCTGGTTGGGGATCCTGGGCACAGAACCAGCCAGACAATCAAATCCAATGGGCAAGTGCTGACCAGTGGTCTGAAGAAAAGTAATCGACACCCAATAAAAAGACACCCAATAAAAATGTGTTTAATCTTCCTAGAGAGATGCTTCTAGGACATGTTATGTGAAGACTGTTATCACCAGATTTTTTCAGTCTTATATACTTGGAAAGAAAACGTACACAAAGCTGCCTTACCCAAGAGGCAGTCCTATTGGGGCCATGTGGGTGAGTGGCCATTTTGCCGTGTATGAAATACCTGCCATCTGTGCCTTTACAGGGCTTTGTAACGGGTGGAAAAGATGGAATCGTGGAGCTCTGGGATGATATGTTTGAGAGATGCTTGAAGACTTATGCCATTAAAAGAGCAGCGTTGTCAACTAGCTCAAAAGGTGCCACTCCTGAATATGCTGTAGAAACCTTTCTGTTCATGGGACTGGAAAAGACAGTACTGAATGTCTTGTAGTAATAGCTCATAACCCAACCAGTTCTCTTTCTTACATAGTTAGGACTTTTAGTCCCTGGTAGAAATGTCAAGGATGATTGTCCAGTACCTAGTACTTTGGATTTTTTTTTATGTTTGATTTTTTAATAGTTCCAATCTATAGTAAGAGTCAGCCTTGTCATTGTATTAAATGCAATATCCCCTCCCCCATCCCCCAGGCCTGCTTTTGGAAGATAACCCTTCAATTCGTGCCATCACTCTGGGACATGGACATATCCTGGTGGGAACAAAAAATGGAGAGATTCTGGAAATCGATAAGAGTGGCCCAATGACACTGCTGGTTCAGGTACCATGTTTGTACATGTCGTACAAACCACAGTCGACAACAGGGCTGGGACCAGGTTAAGGCAAGAGGGCTCCTTAGGGTTCAAAGCCTGCTTGGCACCTCCCAGGATTGTGCTGTGCCAGATACCTGCTGAACTTGGCCCTCTGCTTAGGGTTTTGCCAGTAAAGGACAGAGATCTGGTCTTATCTGAGTCTCAGTGGAAGAAGGGACTCCTTTTAGTCTCACTCAGGTTGCTGGCAGAATTCAGTTCCTTGTGCATATAGGACTGAGGCTTCGTTTTTTGCTGGCTCTTGGCCAGAGGCCACCTTCAACTGCTAAAAACTGTCCACAGTTCCTTGGCATATAGGGTCTCCAATAGCCACGTGGTTTTTCAAAGCCAGCAAGAAAGAAAAAAATTATATACTACAACCTTACATAATATAATCATATCATCACATACATCTCGTCGTGAACATTCTGTCACTTCTGCCATGTTCTCTTGGTTGAAAACAAGCCACAGGTCAGGCCACACTCAGAGGGAGGTGATTATGCTACAGTGTGAAAATTAGGAGGCTTGCAAGGATCCCCCTGCAAGTCCGTCCATTAAGGTCCACCCTGCCACACACAGAATACCCCCACAAGAGCTGTATGTCATGACAGTACCTGCTCGCATCATCTAAATCAGGCTCAAATATGGACAAGGTCCTCTCCATCTGTTTATCCATAAAACTAAGACACATTATCCACTTCCTACAAATGTGCAAGTGCTTCATCAGATCCTGTGCCTCACTTAGTTCTCAGCCTTCTCTCCCATGGCCACATTAATATCTTTAATGTCCTTCCCCTTCAAGAATCATACTTAAGTAAAATCAGAAGAAAATGAACATCAGCAGCGTCCTCAAAGAGCAGAGAGATGATAAAAATCACACCTCGGGGGTGGGAGATTGGAGGAAGTCCCCCCTCTGGTGATGCATGGAACAAACCAAATCTATGGGGAGTTGGGGAGCTTCACTTCATTCCCCAGATCCTATCCATGCCTGCAGGCTTGCCGCATTAGGGGCTAACTCCAAAATCCCACTGAGAGAATCCCTCTGACTTGCTGTATCCTGGGGAGTAGGTCTGTATACACACATCATGGTTCAGAATTCCATGCAAAGTTTTGAAAATACATATGCCCAAGCCCACCCTGAATATCCTAAATAAGAATCTGTTTACCAAAAACCAAAACAAAACAAAAAAAACACTCAATCAAATCTCAAAACCTCTAGCTAATTGTGCCAGGTAGGCAGGCTGAAAACCATGCTGGAGGTAATTCCTTGAGGCATGACTTATTTGTTATCAGGTGTTCTGGCTTCTGTTATTTCCTTTCAAACTAAAATCATCTTCTTTTTGGCCGTAGGTCTTATTTTTTAAATGCTTGTACTAGTGCATTATAGTTGTACATACTAGTGGGGTCCATTTTCGCATAACCATACATGCATGAAATTTAATTTACTCCATTTCAGTTCCCAGCCTCCTCTTTCCCTCCCCGCCTCCCTCCCCCTATTCCCCTTTCTCTACTTTCCTGGTCTTCCTTCTATTTATTTACTTTTATTAATTGATGCTTTATAGATGTACATAAAGGTGGGATTCCTGTGGTATCTTTATGTGTGCACATAGTGTAATTCTGTCAAATTTGTTCTGAGTTTTCTTCTCTTTCCCATCTCTCTTCCCTCCCCTTCAATCTCCTTCTGATCTTCCCTCTAATCTTATGAGATCTCACCCCTCCCCATCTTCTCCCTTATTTTGCTCTAGCCTTCCTGTATGAGAGAAAACATTTTACCCTTGATTTTCTGGCTTATATCACTTAGCATGATATTCTCCAGCTCCATCCATTTACTGGCAAATTACATAATTTCATTCTTCTTTATGACTGAGTGAAACTCCATTGTGTATATATAACCACGTTTTCATTATTCATTCATCTGTTGACAGGCATCTGGGCTGGTTCCATAATAAGTTCTTACTTAATATTATTGAAAAGTATTTGTTTTCGACCCCCAAATGTTTGGGAGTTTGAATTGTTTCCATCCATACTGTATTGCTAAATACTTTGGAAGATTTATACTGTAACATGATTTGACACTTAAGATTTAAACTCTTTTCTAATTTTGTGAAGTGTTATGTTATAATTGAGATTATTTTGTTTAAATATGTTTTAAAATTGATGGTCAAGGCTTTTCACATTTTGGTTCTTTAAAATTCTATTCTTTCCTATATTTCCTTCTGTTGCTCTAATAATAACCTCCACCATCACTTACTGAGCACCTAGTATGTGTCAGTCAGTGCCATTTTATGGCATTTCTCTCTCATCACCAGTACAGCTTTGTACAGACTGTGTTATAAGTGAGGGACCAAAGCCCAACACATACCCACAGTCACATACTGAGGACTGCAGATCTAGGACTCAAGCCAAGACCTATCAGATACTAGCCCCTTCTCTTCCACTACACCAGGCTCTTCCCACAGGTTTATTGGCCGTGGACAAGGTTCAGCCCCCTGAGATGTTGGTGGCCAGGTAAGCAGGTAGGGATAGGAGTTTCCTGTTCTCTCAGGTCACAGTGCTGACCTGGGAGAAGACAAACTAACTGTAAGACCGCCATCTGCCCTGCAGTGGGAAGATTTCAGAAGCCCTTTTCCAGTTACACTTGGAAAGGATCATTTATTGTTTCAGAGAAGGAAGGCTAGTTTGGAGGAGAGGGAATAAGTGATGTGCAGTGAATTATGAAATTTCCATTGTGCGTACTTTTTGAATATAATCAACTGTTACATAGTTTGAAGGGTGATTAGTAGCAAAATAAGATCCTAGGCCCATTTCCTTGTGTCATTCAAGATACTTCTGGCCTGTCTGTCTACTCCTGTGTTATACAGGAATTGAAATAATTAGATTAAGGAAATATGATTTTGAAAGTAAGTATGAGGCAGCAGTTTGAAAGGTCTTCCAGATCTGCAACCCTGTCCTCAAGTAAAATGTCCAAAAGGGTTTGACCCATAGAAAGGCCCCTGCCAGGCCAGTCTGGGAGGATATGGGACACCTGTGCTGTCTCTGATTGTGTCTCGGGGTGGGAGGCTTCTGAAGAATAAGAAACTAGGGATGCAAGGTATGTCCAGGGATAATAAATGAAAAAACAATATCTTTCCACTTTAACTGCACATTTTCTCAGATATTTGAATGTCAGTTGTATTTGGAACTTTCCATATTCTACCAAATTATTGTTTTGCTCAAATAGTCTTCCAACTAAATTGAAATCATCCAATTTCTCTTTGGAACACCACCTGTTCCCACTAAGCATTCCAGCTACAGTCACCTTTCAGATGCCTTTCATGGTCTTTCTGTTTGCTTCACTATGAAAAGTCTTTTTATAATTAGTCACTAAAAATCAGAAATTCAGTAAACAATCTAGTTTATTTATTGCTCCATAGCACTAATCTCTCCTTTACACTCCTTTACTGAATGATAGATTATAGTAATCGAATTTATTTTCTTCCTGCTAAGTGTTCATTTTTTAAAAATTATGTTTTCTCTGTTATTATTCTAAGTGTATGCATGGTAAGATACAGGTTGTGGAATTGGTCCTGTACATATTAAGCACCTTTCAGTTTTCTGATGTTTATTGTTGGCACATGTAGAAAGCAATTTGTGAACAAATGCTGATTCTGAGCTATACTCAGGGCAAACAAAAGGAAAATTTAAATTTATTTCAAATGCTATGCAAAGGACTAACATTGTATAAATAAGAATATTGCTGCCCCAGTCCATGACAAAGATAGGTGGTACCTACTTCTTTTAGAATATCATTTTATTGGAGGAAGTGGTTTGTGTGTTTGTGATCAAGCTGTTTAACTAGGAGGTACATACACACTATGTTTATTCAGTGTAACACAGAATAAAAGGTGGGCATTTCACAATTCACCTGGATATTTATTTCCAAATGGGAAGATGTTTGGCCTCAAACACACATAACCTGTAAGCAATTAATATCTTGCTTTTCAAAAGAATGCTTTTAGCATCATGTAGGCCTAGCTTTAAGTTCATGTTCAAGTGAAAAAATTATTCAATGCAATTGTTTTGGCCTGAGGAAGCTCTGTGTGTATTCATTTCTGAACCTGTCTGCTATATTCTTGGGCTGGATAGGGCTGAAAAAGGCCTTGTAGGAAGCATGAGCTGAGTTTCCATTGCCCTGGTTCCTCTCCTACAGGGGCACATGGAGGGAGAAGTGTGGGGATTGGCAGCTCACCCTCTCCTGCCCATCTGTGCAACAGTGAGTGATGACAAAACCCTTCGGATCTGGGAATTATCCTCGCAGCACCGTATGTTGGCAGTACGGAAACTCAAAAAAGGTACAGAACACCACCTGTACACATCATAAAAGTATTTACAAGCAACAGAATAGGTTGAATTCAACCATTCACTCAACTGATATTTATAGATAGCTCCTGTAATATGCCTGACCCCCAAATATGCTAGCAATAGGAATTCAGAGGTCACTGTGCAGGTAAACCTAAGCACATGTAAAGTTTTCCCAGAGACTGGCCTGATAGAGCAGTGCCCTGGCTCTGCTGTTCACCATTTTCCTTGTACTGCACAGACATTTGCCACCTGGGGGCAATATGTCCTTCTTCTTCTCATCGAGAGCTATGGGAGTCAGTTGAAGCACATCGATTTGTAAAGAATGCTATTTATCTTTGTTATTAACAGTCTCCAGAACTTATTCCTGAAAAGTGAAGGTAAGTTATAATAGAAAAATAATACTTAATATCATATGATGAACAACTATGTATCAAACATATCCACACTAGAATTAAGAGGAACACCAGGAGGTACCAAGTCAGCAGACATTTGCTGAGTAGCTTCTGTGTGTCAGACACTGGGGACCCCAAGGTAGCATGACTTATCTCTAGTGTCAGAAATGGACAGTATTTGAACAGAGTCCCAGCAACAGGTGGCCCATTCAAATTTGGTAATTTGAGAAGAGTCTAAAAATGGGACTCTTTATAAAGGGGGGTAGGAAATGACTGAGGATGGTACAGCACTATGCAGCTGGTACCAGCAGGTTCCATTGCAAGCCTTGGACCCAAAGGGTGAGAGGAGGGAGGGATTGCTAGAACTTTGAAAGTAAGAGTTGTGAGATGGCACCTTGAGAGAAGCTATAACTGTCAAGAGAGGCAGTGATCACAGCCAGCACACAGTGACCCTGAAGGAGGCAGCGAGGGGAACAAGCACCCCAGCCTCCCTGTCTTCCTCCATCCCTCCAGTCACCTGCCATGCTCCTCCATGGCCACATAAAATCAGAAACCCTAGGGCAAGGGAGCCCCTGATGTAGTCCTCCCAGTCCGGCTTAAAGCACAGAGCAGGTGGGCAAGGGTAAAAGGAAACGTGAGGGGTAAATTGAAACTGTCCCACACAAACCTTCCTGGGACCACTTCATCAGGCAAGTGACATTGATTGCTGAGGCTCAATGGGTCTGTAAAAGTTCTTAAGACAGGAAAGAATGAGATTGACCTTACCACATCTGTACTGGGTAGTTTATAATCAAAGAGAGATGTGTTCTAGAGGAATATGTAAAATGAAAACCAGTGTCAAGATAGCAGTTAACAGTGGTGAGCTCTCGACCCTGCTGGCACTACACATTCAGTCTGCACAGAAACCCAGCAGCTAAGGCCTCTCTTATTACCACTTGCAGATTAGGAAACTGATTAGGCACAGGGTACTTTAGTAGTTTTCCTAAGGTCACAGCTAGTAAATGGTGGAACTGAATTCAAACACAGGCAGGGTGGCCCCAGAGAGCCCACCTGTGGCTACCACATGATGTGGTCTCCCTCCACCACATTGTCTCTTTACCCTACATGCCTGGGCCTGGCTGGTAAGTGGTGGAGCCAGGATCCCAGCCCAGGTGAGAATCTCAAGCATGTATTTAATCACTACAAGACTGAATGGTTTGGCCTCTAATTTATAATGGGGAAATGAAAACAGGTCCTCAGTGTGGAGAATTCAAATGTCAGTCGTTGGACTTTATTCCCTGGGTTAAAAATTAGTTCAAAGGAACAAGTATCAATACATCTTAGATAGGACGATAGTTCAACCCAGTTTCCTCCAGTTATTCTGGTGTAATCATTAACAGCTCCCACTTTTCACTTTCAAAAGTGCCCTGGTGTGTACAGTCAATTATGGTTTGCCTAATCCTGATGAGTCTCTGAAAAGCAGGCTCGTCTTTTCATTCTCTCATTACCAGCACCATGATTGACTTTTGAGTAAGCAAATAAATGCCAAGTGAATGAATGATGCAATATATCATTTAGTTGAGTCAGTTTGAAGTTCCCAGCATGACCATAGCTTTCGGTATACTATGAACAGTGACTGGAGTTCAGTTTGAGATGCCTCAGCACAAGGCTGTATGGCCACTACATGGCTGTGCTTACCACAGTTGTGACAGCAATCTGAAATGGATAGTGGTGATGATTGCATAATTCTATGATCATAATAAGAACTATTAGATTCTATACTTTGGGTGAATTGTATGATATATAAATTACATCTCAGTAAAGCTATTTGGAAAAAAAAAATGGTCACAGGGATGGGTATGTTCTTTAGTAGGCTTTCTACTCAACATACCTCCTCAAAGTTCATGCTCCTCACTTGGAAATGCCACACCAAGCAGCAGAAAGCATGGCTCATGCAGCACCACCATCCATATGCTGCTTAGTTTCAGAAAGCCCCCCTTGAGAGAATGTTGTTATATTGCCTTCTTTCTGTGACAAAAGAGGCAGGTCCAGAATCTTCCACCTCTAGAACTGTGCATTATGCATGAGGCAGAGAAGTGGGGGTGAATAATGAGGTTTTTCAAATATAACAAGTTTATACCTAAGGCACAATATCCAAAAAGCAGTCTCTAGAAATTTTCTTGCAGAACTTAACATTCTTAAACATTTCCTCTTTCCTGAGAAAGCCAAGTAGAGGATATATTAATCTTTTCCTCCTTTCTGTTGTTCGCCCAAATTGTCTTTTGAAAAATCCAGGTATTTAGATACTAAGAAATAAATGATAAACCTTATGAAAATTGGAAATCTTTTTGACATTATGATGATTGTCCTCGGATTTGAAGGAAAGAGATGTTTGAAGTTACGAAGTTTAAGTTCTCATCAGTGTAGTGTTTAAGATCCAGTCATGTGTCCATTTGTAATGCCTGGTGCAGGTTTTAGCCATCTCTCCATTTGGTTTGCTCGATGGCTGGTGCTGGGTGGCAAGCGTTCTTTGTGGATTCTTTCATAGGTGGAAGATGCTGTGCCTTCTCCCCTGATGGGAAAGCCTTAGCAGTGGGCCTGAATGACGGGAGTTTCCTGGTGGTGAATGCTGACACCGTTGAAGACATGGTGTCCTTCCATCACAGAAAAGAAATGATCTCTGATATTAAATTTTCAAAAGGTAAAGATGACAGTGGAGACTGAGAAATGTCACAGTCTTGGAGCAAAAAAAGAATTATGAGAAAGAACTATTTTATTTATTTTTACAATTCCTTTTTTAAGCTATTTTTTATTCTTTTTATTTATACATGACAGTAGAATGTATTTTGACATACATACATGGAAGATAACTTCCTATTCTAGTGGTCATACATGATGTGGAGTTACACTAGTTATGTACTCATATATGAATGTAGGAAAGTTATGTCTGATTCATTCTACTGTCTTTCCTATCCCATCCTCCCTTCCTTCCTTCTTTTGTCTTATCCAATGAACTTCTATTCTTCTCCCCACTCCTTTACTGAGTGTTAGCATCCACATATCAGAGAGAATATTCAGCCTTTGGAAACCGAAAAGCCAAAAATAAACTATTTAAATGTCTCTTTGACCTTGTTCCTATTTTACTAGTTTCTTGGAAACAAATTCTCATATAAAGTATTTTGGTGTTAACTGCATATTTATCTTCATAGATACAGGAAAATACTTAGCTGTGGCATCCCATGATAACTTTGTGGATATTTACAATGTACTGACAAGCAAGAGGGTTGGCATCTGTAAAGGAGCTTCTAGTTACATTACACACATTGACTGGGACTCTAGAGGTAAAGTATGTTGTGACTTTTAAGGTATATTTCTGTTTTTTTTAAAAAAAAAACAATGTTCATTCTCTAGAAACAATATTGTTTCTAGAGAAAAAATTGAGTTTTAGAAAAAAGTTGGGCAAGGGGAACTCACAGTAATATAATGTACTATAAATCTGTAGCCTAGAAGCAGCTGTCATTACCATTCTGGGTGTTTTCCCATATTTTAAAAATAATTGTTATTGTTGTCATCATTGTTGATTCAGGTCATTAAGTTTTAGGACTGTTGCAGACACACAGTGCCTTCTGTTACCACACAAGCCACCACCTTGCCTTTGGGTTCAGCAGGCTCTGTCCTTACCCTGGGTTTCTTCCTCCTTCCCACTTTCCCCTTTTCTCCACCTCCTGGAGAACTGCCCCAAAAAGCTCCAGCAATTTCCATATTCCAATGGAGACAGAAAGCCAGATCCAGCTTGCCTAAAGTCTCTTGGCTTTCCCAAGCTCCCAGCCTACCCTCTGCCTCATCCAAGTCATGCCCACAAACGTCATGAAGACCTGTTTATTTAATACATCAAGCTTCTACCATTTGTAAAGACTTAAGCCAGAAAATATGGAGGATCTAGAAGTGAAACATGGCTCCTCTCTGTGGAACTTACAGTTTAGTGAGAGACATGCTTGGGCTGAACTAACACAAGAGCATAAACTGGGTAAGGTGTGGAGCGGTGAGTCATAGGAAGTGGTGAGCCCAGGCTAGGATGGGCCAAGTCAATATTGGGGTGGGACATCAGTGCTATAAGGTAGGTGACTTTTAGATCCTAGTCTAGAGATTTGGCTGATGTTTAGAGGCTGGAACAGGCATTTAGGAATGGGCAGAGTTGGTGCTTTTAAAGAAGTCATATAGTCTGTTTTGGAAGAAAAGCACCAGCACACCGTGTGCTCTGAGGAAGAGGCTCCCTGGGGGAATCCATGGAGCCTTCATAAAAGAATGACCTTCCAGGTGGATCTTTAAAGAGGTGCAGAAACTCACTAAACAGTAAAATCAGGGAAGAACATTCCAGGCAAAGGGAATATGGCCTTCAAAGCCTCGAAGGTGGAAAGAACAGGAGGTTAAGAAGTGGTGAGTAACGCTCAGTGGACAGGATGCAGGGGAAGCAACGTGGAAAGGCAGTAAAAAGGGACTCTTGCCTTATGCTAGGAAGTTAACATTGAACTTTATTTCACAGGCACTAGGTGACTCCAGGTTATTTAGAGCAGGGCATTCTCTACCATCTCAAGGAGGAAATGAACCTAGAGTTGGACAGCAACTAATGTAAGTCAGAGAAAGAAGTGACAAGGACCTGGGCCAAGAAGAGGTTACTTCCAAGACCCCAGAGTGTTTCTTAAAACAATAGGCAGAGACTAGGGCTCAGCAGTCTTTGTGCTGGGCAGGTTTTTGGTTGTGGCTGGACCTGCCTCACTGGAATTCAGGCTATTTCAGCTTTATAGCCTGCAGGAGTTTTATAGAGCACAGTAGATAGAGGAAGGCATGAGATTTATTGTAAGAGGAACAAGAACCCAACAAGGGCAAAGGGAGATCAGATAAGTCCCTTTTGCTTTCATGTCAGGGACGTGCCAGCCACAGTGCTGAGAGCTTAGCTGAAATTTATGATCAGGCAGGACACTGGTGCCTGAGTCACTTAGGAACTTGGGAGGCCAACTGGGTAGGCAGATCAGCTGTTTCTCAAACCTCTTCTTTGATATTCCTTGTTTTATCATTTGAAAAAAGAAGTGATTTCCCCTTTTTATTCTCCTCTAGTTGAGATAGGGTATAATGACTTTTATTTGAAATCCACCGCACACAAACACGCCACCTGTCACAGGTGTGACATCCCACCACCACAATCACTATTAAGGGCTAAACTTATTACTTCTGTTAGGAAGTGAGGGCCCAAAGAAAATGAGTTATATGAAGACAAAGTTTTCATTGGGAGGATTTTTCAAAAAATTATTTTTAATGGTGGCAAAATACATATGCAATTGATCATCTTGATCATTTTTAAATATACAGTTCAAGGCATTCATGTTGTTAGGCAACCATCATCCTCTTTTCACCTTGTAAAACTGAAACACCATACCCATTAGACAGTAACTGCCCATCCCTCCGGTCCCTGGCAACCACTATTCTGCTATGTTTTTACAAACAGACTATTCTAGGACCTCATAGAAGTAGAACTGTAACCAGCTTTTTTTTCCCTTTTTTTTGTAACCAGCTTATTTTACTTAGTATAAGACACCCAGGGTTCATCCATGCTATAGCTTGTGTCAGAATTCCCTTCCTTTTTAAAGCTGAATAATATCCATATTTTGTTTGTTCGTTCCTCTGTGGATGGAGACTTGAGCTGTTTTCACATTTTAGCTATTGTAAATAATACTACTGTGAACCTGAGTGCAAAATATCTTTTCAAGATCCTGCTTTCAGTTCTTTGGCGTGTATAACCAGGAAGGGGACTGCGGGATCATATGTAGTTCTATTTTTAAGTTTATGAAGAACCACTGTCCTATTTTTGACAGCAGCTGCACCATTTTACTTCATCACAATCAGTACACAAGGGTTCTACCTTTCTACATTCCTGCCAACACTTGTTATTTTCTGTTTTTATTTTGATAGTGACCACCTAATGGGTATGAAGTGACACCTCATTTTGGGGAGTGCGGGGACTGGGAGAGCAGGTAGAGGTATCAGGGATTGAACCCAGGGAAGCTTACCCACTGAGCCACATCCCCATCCCTTTTTTTGTTTTTGAGACAGGGTCTCACGAAATTGCTTAGGCTAAGTTGCTGAGGCTGCTCTCAAACTTGCAAACATCCTGCCTCAACCTCCCAAGTCACTGGGATTACAGGTGTGAACCTCCACACCCGGCTCACTGTCATTTTGATGTGCATTTGGAGAATTGTTTTTTGTTTGGTTTTTTGTTTGTTTGTTTGTTTGTTTTTAAATTCTGCGAGTGTGCAGGTCCTGTGTCAGATACTGGGGATTAAAGAGGAGTAAGTCCAGGATGGAAAGCACAAGATCTTGCCTAAGATCAGTGTGTCACTGCCATGGTAGGTCTTGGATAAGGATCTGTGTCAGGTGCCTCATCTATAAGCCATCACTTGGTGGGAGAGGGGCAAAATTTACTATGTCCATAATTCTACCCCAAGTCCAGCCTCCTGGAGCTCAGACCCACAGAAAGGGGACTGGGAGTCAGGGGAGGAGGCCAACGTGATTGTGGTGGTGGGATGTCACACCTGTGATGGGTCCCTTCAGTCAGGTGAGGGTGTCAGACCAAATGGTTTCTATGACTTGAGTATAAAGTAGAATACATGTGATTTTTAGAGAGGAATTATACCATTTGGAGAATAAAAGTGTGCCCATGAATCTTCGCTGGTTTAACTCTAGTCCCATTAGCTATGAGACATGTCATCCTGATATGCAGGTCCCAAAATGCCTGGAGAATGTGCCACGCTGCCTCAGGACCAGGCTACCCTTCCACAGAGGGGGCCTGGAGGGTCTGGCTGAGGCAGTGAGCAGAATTTAGAAGCAGGGATCTATTTCATTCCTTTGATCCTGTCAGAAATAGTGAAAGCATTTGCCAGAGCCAGCTGGCTCCTCAGGGCAGAGATGGTGCAGCTGTGACAGCCTTCCGGCCCTCAGCCTGCAGCAATCGCAGGTCAAACCGGAAAGTGCATCTACCTTTTGCAGAAACATCAGATACTCTGAATGAAAGTTCCTGTGTGTAGTCCTAGAGAAATAATATATGGAAAGAGAGAAAACACGGAAGCATGTATTCTAGATGCTACAAGTTCGTTTCTAGAAATGTGATCTTTTACCAATTAACAGTTTGAGCCATCGTAGGACATTTCCTTTCTATTTTCATTGCTAATGGGCCTGATAAATCTGATACATGTAGTACGACTTTTGGAATTATTCTAACCAGTAAATTATGTGGCAACTGGAATAACACGTGTGACTCACTTTGTGGACAATAAAACTGTGTGCCTGAAAGATGTCTGATTTACTTTATCTTAGTAATGAAGACAGTGTTTCAGTCCCCTCATTCTGCATAAGCAGACTTCTAGTGAATGAAGACTTAAGAATTACAAAAGGATAGGGTTCTATTTTTCAGAAGGAATTACGTATTGGTTTTATCCCATCTTTTTCCTCTTTGCTCCTTCTCTGCCCTCTGAAGATTTCAGTGGTGATATATCTAGGTCTGTATGATATAGATATAGATCCACAGCAGCAGAGAGAAAAGAGTAGTGACCTAAATATTTTCTCTATGCTTAAAAAAAAAACATAATAACAACAGCAATAAATTTCAGGGGGTTATAAGCATACCCATAAATTTGCCTTCCTAACCCTAGAATAGATTTTTTAAAATTATTCATCTCCTAGGTTAAGAAATAGAAACCCAAACTAGCGTAAATTTTAAAATAATAATGAAGGACCGTTCACCAGAGAGATCTAGGGATATCTGATAGAATCTAGAACAGGAAGCCGTATCTCCAGAGAAACTGGCTTTAGGAATGAACTAGAAAATAGAGACTGAGCAAGCAGTTCCTCTCCTGTTCCCCTCCTCCTCTGTGGCAGCTGCTCTTGGCACCCACTGCTCTTCTGGGCCTGTGTCTGCCTTTGGCCTCTTGGCATAGCCCAGTCTCAGCTGCCCCCAGATGCATTCATGATCCCAAAGTCACATCTCATACCAGCCGGGCCCTCCTGGGTCTCTGTCTGTGTCTGGAGTCAAACTTGATCATAGGGGCCTGGGCCTCAGTGGGGGCCAGTTCTCAGAAAGGAGTACAGACAGAGGGTACCCCACTAGGTGTCTGTGACACCATGTGTCACCTCTGGTGCTTGCTCTGTGTTATATTCTTGTCATCATAAAATGCCTTGCTCACAATATTGTAGTCTTTTGTTGCTGTTCATTCAGATGTTAGATTTTTTTAAGCAAGTATTATCTTTAAAACTAGTGTAAAGTGCACTGTTGGGATCATCTGAGAATTACAATCCTCTGAGTTCTTAGTATCTCTTAGCCAAAAATTCATCTAAAACTTTGCCACATTCCAAGAAGGTCTTCACTGAATCCTTTAATCCTTTTCCCACATGCTTTGTTATCTGCAATCACTTTTGAAAGCCCTAAAAATATAATTGCAGATATATTTAGTTCTTTGGAAAAGTATTGATTACTCATTTTCTTCAAATGCCAAAAAGACAAAGATGATTTAATCCCCTCTTTTCTCGTTTGTATTTGATTAGCCATGAAGTCAGAAAACAATATCCAGTTTAGAGGACATGTTTTCAGATTCCCTTGGTCCTAAGAGTCAAGGGAGCCCCCAATCAGCCATGTGCTAACTCACCAAATTAGAAACAGAAATCAGTAAAGAAATAAAAGAATCTTGCATTTAATTTATCACTCTTTAAGGTTAGCTGAGCTAGATTTCAGACCCAGCTGGTGCCTACTTAAACATTAAAGAATGTGATATAACCACAGAGTTCTTTTGGGGGGCATTTTTTTTCCCAAGGACACTTTAAGACTACTAGATATTCTTAGATGTGGGGGTTGGGGGTGAAAGAAGGAAGAAGGTTATTTTATACAGACATATGCTGAATTCTTTGTAGATCAAATATTATGATGTCTGAGATTTGCTTCAAAATAAACTGTGGTGAGATGGTCAGAGGAGTTTATGAGACAGGCATGGCCATGAGTGCCTAATTGAAGCTGGACAATTCCATATCTGTTTGAAATTTTCATAATTAAAAAATGCTAAAAAATAACAGACCATGTATATATCTTGAGACTTTAAAATTTTCAAGCCAAAAAAGATTATTGCCATCGTAGGAGGGAAACTAGGAAATCTATTCTTTTTCAATATTAATCAAAATTAAGATGATAGTTCTATGTCAGACTGAAAGATTATATTTGCTTAACATTCTGTTTGTGGTAAGTCTCGTCTTTTCCAACTTCCAAGTAAGACAGGGTGGGGAAGAAAGCATTTATAGTTTGTTTTATGTGTCCTTTCTGTTTCTAAATTTGTTTGCTGCTATGCTGGACATCCAATCCAGGGCCTCACGCAAGCTGGACAGGTGCTCTACCACTGAACTGTGTCCCCAGCCGCTCAGTTTCTAACTTTAAAGGCAAATTTACAATTTAGACCTGAGTGAATGCAATGCTCACAACAAGCATCTTGCCTCAAATGCTATAATTTTTGCAAAAGCCATTTGCTTCACTTCATTTATATGCTAAGAGACAACAGGGGAAAGTACAAATAAATTGATTTTGTCAGTCTTTGAAGATTTGTAGCTATTTTCCAGTGCAACAGAGTAAAACATATCAAGCTTGATTCTTCTATTGGAAGGATATTCAAGGTCAAATTTTATGAGTTCTATATTCTAAAAAATCACAGCTTTGGGGCTTGTACCTTGTCATGTTATTTCTTATACATGCCCTTCTGAATGATTTAACATGCGTTTACTCAATTTATGAGACTTTGGATTAGAATGAATCAAAATAGTGGTAACTTATAATTGTATAATACAATGATAAATGCACAACTTAATCATCTGTCTCCTCTCTGTCATCCCAGGAAAATTATTGCAAGTTAATTCGGGTGCCAAAGAACAACTTTTTTTTGAAGCTCCAAGAGGCAAAAGGCATATTATAAGACCTTCAGAGGTAACAATCATACACAAAGCTTTTTAAAAAATATTTTGTGTATATTTAATGTGTTAACTTTATAAAAAAACCTATCAATATTCACTAGTATGGGTGACATTTAGCTTACCTTTAAGCTTGATCATTTCTTAAGACTGAATCATTGCTTAATTTGGTTTCCTAATTTCTGAGGAATGGAGTCACTGAACCATTGACAGAGCAGGGTAGAGCTGGCATTCTGCTTCATTTTTCTTGCCTTCACACAATAAGTTAACACTTTGGATACCTATTTTTCCATTCAGCATGTCATTTTGTACAAAGCTTTTCATGAACATATATTTTTAAAATATTTTCTCAATGTCTATTGGTGGTAATAAACAATATTATATACAATAATAACAAATTTTTTTTGAAAGAAGTGGTCCACAGCCCAGCCATTCCAATGTATCAAGCCATTTTCTTCATTCCATGTTTTCCTCGTTTAATTGAAATCAAAGCCTCTATGGAATTTTGAATGCATAAGCATGCCTTCCTGGAAGATAGGTTGCTTTGTGGGTTAGTACCTCTTTCAGGGTCTTGGAATAATGATCTTGATTATCCAAATGTCTTTCCATGATTAAGCCCTAAGGAAGTCCTCTTGATCGTTGGAGACAAGTTGAGTCATTTGTTTAACCTTTGATGAAACAATAGGAAATATTACAACAGCTTTAGATGATAGTTGTCAGTCTCAATTTACAGATAAGGAAATTAGGACTTCAAGAAAGTGACAACCACGGAGCTGTAATCCAATCTGGAGGGTCCACATGTCACTCCACAGTCTGAACCCTAAGCCGTCTTGAATTTCTCCTGGGCACTAAGCATTGTTATACATCATTTCAGATTTATTTTTCCTTCTCTCGCTAGTACCCCAAAATCAGTACACTCAAATAAAATACAACCTAACCAAATGGTGGAGGAGAGATGAGGCTGGCTTGGAACAGATAAGCAGTCATTACATAAAAGAATATGCACAAAAGGTAAATTTGGATTATAAAGTTGACCAAAATGGAAGGGTCTTGCTCTGAAGAGTAAATTTGCACTCTCTGGTGCACATTTATTATTCCAGAGACTGATTCCTGATGATGTGAGTTTGGGAGTCCTCCAGCTAATGTTTCCTCAGCCAACCTCCCTGGTAGTACCACTACTAAGATCACCAAAGAGACAGCTCGTCAGTTGGTCATCCACCAGCCCTTTAGCGGAGCATAAAGGGCTTTGAAAGTATTTTTCAAAAAGATTTTTTAAGAGTCAGCAATGATGAAAATAATATAAAAACTTACCCAGAAAGATGTTAAATATGACAAATATTAAAACATCCACTTAAAAATCTACCTGATGCAGTAAGGTGGGGTTAAAGGAACAATATACTAGAGGGCAAACTAGTGTGACTCCCCCTCTGTTTCCTAAGCATGCTACCTGAGGGATGTAACCTCTCCATGGGCTTCAATTTCCTTTTCCACTAAATGATGTTGAATTTTGTAAAATGAGATTCATAACTAGCACATAAAGCCAGATGTGGAGGATTAAAACAAAGCCATATGAAGTAACTGGCACAGACATCAAATGTTAAGTGAATGAATGACATAATTAAAAATACTTCTCACTCAAGGTGCTAAGGAAGATGAGAGTTTTTAACAAGTTTATTTAATCCTTTGGAGTTTTAGGAATTACAAGGTCTTTTGTATATATGTGTGTGTGTGTGTGTGTGTGTGTGTGTGTGTGTTTGCATACGTGCATCAAGGATTGAAACCCAGGGGCACTCAACCACTGAGCCACATCCACAGCCCTTTTTTCTTTTTTTTTTCATTTTGAGACAGGGTCTCACTAAGTTGCTTAGGGCCTTGCTAAGTTGCTGAGGCTGACCTCAAATTTGTGATCCTCCTGAGCCACTGGATTATATTCACTACTGTGTCGGGCCAAATCATTCTTAAAATTCCATTTTAAATGCAATATTTTAGCTTCCAACAAGTTTAGGCACGTGCTTCCCTTGGAGAGCAGAGTGTCCAGATCTAGCAGTGATATGTTGGGGTCACTACAGGCTGAGCAGAACCAAGCTCACTCTCCTGCCCATCTAACAAGGCCAGCACCAGTGCAGGGATTGGAGATGGACAAGGAGGGTCTCAGAAAAGGAACCTTGAAGGAAGTCAGTGGCTGAAAAGCCTGCTTCCAGAACCTGTGGGGGATGGTTGCCTGCTTCTCTTCCTGTGAAGGTTGGTGTAATGTCATGAGGGGCTGGAGGACCCCACTTCTGCCTCAGAAGATGGAAGTAACTGCCAAGTGACCAACCTGGAGTCACTTCAGCCTCTGGTCCTGCCTGGGACTCTCCAAGTCACTGGACCAGCTGCACATTTTTGGTTCCAGTTCTGCATTGTTCAAGAGAAGCACAGAATGTTAAATCAGGATAAATTTTGACTAAAAAGTGTATACCACCTTATGAGGGGACTAAAACCCTGACTGCATATTTATCTTAATTTCTCTTCTAAGCAGTCACAGCAAGCAAAAAACATAAGAACTGGAGGCCAAGGGCACTAGCAATGTGCAAAGCAGTTTTGAAATCCACAGGGAGTGGTCTGGGCTTTAACTTTAGCTATGATTCTCTAATGATTTTTTAAATATTCTTTAGACAGTGCTTATCTAAAGAAACTGTAACACTAAGACGTACTAGCAGATCTTTAAAGAAAGTAAATGAGATAAAAATCCCCCCGGAAAGCCAAAAACATAGTGTTGTCATTATTGTTTATTGTTGTTGCTTTAAAAAAAGAAACGCCTCAATTTTGTCAGGACTTAACATATAAATTGGAAATCTAGCCATGAATTTCAGACAAAACAGTTTTCAAGGATGAAATGTATATTCATGGCAATGCAGTATGAACAGCTCTTCAAATTTTAGGGATAGTCTCTGTAGAGCATAAAAGATATTAAGCAAGCTGCAGAATCTTACTTTCCCTCCAAGGAAAAACACTTCTTTGATTATTTAAAAAAAGAAATTATGTCTTATAATTTTTGAAAATAATTTGCTAAGAACACTCTAGCTCAGTAATGCTCAGCACAGAGCAATCTTGCCCCCAGGAACATTTGGCAATGTTAACAGACAGGGGTGTGGTACTGAGACCCCGTGGATGAAAGCCAGGCATGCTGCTAAACATCCCACCTAGCAAGGGACATTCCTCCACAACCAAGAATTATTCAGACTAAAGCATCAGTGCTGGGGTTGAGAAACCCTGCTCTGTTTATGGCTTATATGACTGTACATGTCTGATTAAAAACTAAAAATCTTTACTATTATCAGATTTCTACAATTCCAAAATGTACCTTTGATTTAGAGAAAAATATTTGGATATTTGACTGCAGCGGTTGCTTATTAAAATAATGCAGACACTACTCCAAATAAGTAACTTGGCATTTGTGCACCCTCAGCACATGACTCAAATGCCTGAGGTTGTCATGGTCATCACTTAGAACCACTCAGCTGCAAATGGATTCTCTGAAAACAAAAGAAACTAGATTGTGCAAAACTGTCATTTTCCTTCCTCCTCTGGCAGATTGAGAAGATAGAATGGGACTCATGGACCTGCGTTCTGGGGCCCACCTGTGAGGGAATCTGGCCAGTACATAGCGACGTGACGGATGTCAATGCTGCCAGTCTCACCAAAGACTGTTCCCTCTTGGCCACGGGAGATGATTTTGGTTTTGTTAAGCTTTTTTCATATCCTGTCAAGGTAATATTTCATGTTTGTTATGTGTCCTTGCTCAGCCTCATTAACAACCCCAAAGCTATCTGTTACATCTAGGTGGATTTTTAAATTCTGAAGGAATAGGCAATCAATAATGTTATTTACAGTATCACTTAGGCTGTATAAAAAACCTCCTGATGTTTTGTTTGAGTGACTAACTAAAGTGAAATTCTTATGGCTTAAAATTTCTTCTTGAAAGGGCTTTTAGAGATCATCAAATCCAGCATCTTGCTGACTTTAAGTGATGAGTCATCTTTATGACATCTCAAACCACTATTTTTCTAATTAGTACTAGCACACTTCCAGGAATGAGCAACTTACTCCCTCACAAAGCAGTCCAGATCTTTTTTAAAAAGTTCCAGTTTTTTTAAAAAAAGCTATTGCTCTGTATTGAGAATTCCCTTCTCCTTAGCTGATGCTCTGGCCTCTGAACCAGGATTGAACCATCATTCCTGTCCTCTAACAGCCTTTGTAAGTAGGAGGATGATATTTGACCCACTTTAGCCTCACTTTCTCCAGCCTAAACCTCTCGAGTTCCTTCAGCCGTTTCCCACATTCTATGGTTTGCAGCTATGCCCTGGCATTCATTTTTATCAATTCCTGCTTAAACTGTCTCATCTAGAACTGAAGTCAATGCTTCAGGTGCAATCGGGCCAGCTCACAGCAAGCAGGACTTCTTAGAGCCCTACACTCCTTGGTTTTGGTTTTACATTTGCATTCAATCAAACTACAATGACATCCACTGAATTAAAGTCAAATTACAGATGTCAGTCTTTAAAATAATCCATTTATCCCCATCCTGTACTTAGTGCAATTGATTTTCTGAGTACAGAACTTTATATCTGTATTCCTCAAAAAAAGTTTTCTCTTGTTTGTTTAATCCCATTGTTTCATCCTATCAATATCTTTTAAATACCTTTTGGAAATATTTACTCTCCCTTTTAGCATTGTGTCATCTTCTGCTTTCACAATTGAGTTCTAGATCATGGAAAAACAAATAGAGAAACTAGAATACTACTGTACCAGGAAACCCATTCTGACATTCCATTTGCTAAGCCACACATTTAGTTGCAGTTCTTTGATCAATAACAGAATCTTACATCATCCTGACTGTATAATCATGCAGCCTAGTCCAATAAGACTTTGTTAAATTACTAATGAAACACCCTGTAAAAGATGTGAGGTTAGTTCACAGTGAAGCCCTGCTGGTAATCACTTGATTCCTTTCACAAGGGGGTATTGAACTTCCGTGTAATATTTCATCCCAGAATTTCCCACAAATTACATCAGATCATGAACCAATATTTGCCAGTCTATTTGTTTTCCCTTTGGGATACAGAAACCTGTTTTATGCCTGATGCCACCTCTCCTGATGTCTAAACTCCTCAGCTATTGTTGATACTATTTCTGGGGTCTCCTTTGATGACATCCACTGTTGTGTAAATGAACCTTTCTGTTTTGAAGTGCCTTCTTTTTGACAGAGGAGATAAGTCAGTCTGCTTTCTATTAATATTAAGCCATCAAATCTAAGAAGTATTCCTAACTTTTTTCTGTTTTTCTTCTTAGTGTTTTACAATAGCTTTCCTGAAACTACACCAAGGGTCCATGCAAGACTTTTTAAAAAAAAAAAAAAAAAACAAGGAGTATTGTTTTGATCATAACTTAAGGTTTCTTTGTTTTGTTTTTTTAGTTTGTTTTGTTTTTTTGTGCAAGATTTCTGTGTTCCTCCATGATGATTCGCTCCTCCTCCCATTATTCACACTTTTCAAACCTGAACACACTGGTTCTATTGGCAGACACATTGGTTTCTTTGGATGCTTTTTTGTTTTTCCTCTTCATTTGTTAATATCTGGCTGGATTATTGTTTTGAGTAGCCCTAAGAGACACATTTGATTGTGTCTAGTGTTCCCTTCATTGTCTATTCCAAGTTCCAGAGTCACATGGTAACCTTTGCCCAATGACCTATCCCTTCTCCTTCACTTACCAGCCTTTCCTGTTTGATCAGAATTCAATTCTAAGTATCCATTCTCCTTGATACTTCTTTGAAAAAATAAATGAAATTGCTTTCAGGACAAATCAAAAAAATTGATACTGTGATTTTAGTAGACCACAGTTTGGGCAGGCATTTAGACAGCAAAAAACCTTGTGTTACTATTATCTCACATCTTCTAGGATTATTATTGGTCCTGGGATTTTATCACCCATCTTCCCAGCCTGGTGAGGTGGGATGTATATCATTTTATGCTGTGTTTCTCAGACTCCCAGAGTTCCAAGGGAAGTGTCCTAGAGACCACCTCAGGAAGGAGGACAGGGGCCAAGTGGAGGGCTCTGGGTTCTACCCCTGCTTCAGTTGGAATCACTGTTTTCTGTGTCTTGTTCATAGAGCATCTGTGTAAAATATTTTTTCCCAACGTTTTATTGTGAAAAACTGAGCAAATGGATAAAATAGAATGATAACAATTAAAACTCCTAGAAACCCACAGTCTACATTCTACATTAAAAGTAAATTGTGGAATTAATTTTAAAAAGTCTCAACTTTACACTTTGAGGGACTATTTAAAGAAGAACTAAATGAAGGAAATAATAAAGATTACAGCAGAAACAAATAAAGCTTGGCCTGATGGCACACAGTTGTAATCCCAGTTCCTCAGAGGCAGTGCCAGGAAGACCACAAGTTCAAGGCCAGCCTGGGAAATTTAGACTCTTTCTCAGGGGGGAAAAAAAAGATTGGGGAGACATGGTGCTATATAGTTCAGTGGTAAAGTATGCAAGTCCCTGGATTCAATCCCAGTACTTCCAAAAAAGGAAAGAAATGAAATGGAGATTATAAAGATCAATAAAACAAAGACTTTGTTCTTTTATTTTTAAATATTTATTTTTTAGTCGTGGTTGGACACAGTACCTTTATTTATTTATTTTTATGTGGTGCTGAGGATTGGATCCAGGGCCTTGCACGTACTAGGCGAGTGCCCTACCACTGAGCCACAACCCAGCCCCAAGAGTTTATTCTTTTAAAAGATAAAATTGACAAACCTTTAACTAAACTAACCAAGAAAAAAAGGGGGCTTAAACACAATTATAAGTGAAAGAAGAGATATTATATGATACTATAGCAATATAAAGGATCATAAGTCTACTATAAACATATGCCAACAAATTTGGATAACCTAGAATAAATTGATAAATTTCTAGAAACATACAACCTACCAAGTCTAAATGATGAAGAAGTAGAAAATCTGAACAGACCAATAATGAGTAAGGAGACTGAATCAATAATCAAAATCTTCCTTAAAAAGTCCAGAATCAGGAGCTGGGGTTGTAGCTCAGTGGTGAAGCACTTGCCTGGCATGTGTGGGACACTGGGTTCAAATCTCAGTACCACATACAAATAAATAAATAAAACAAAAGTATTGTGTCTATCTGCAACTAAAAATACATTTTAAAAGTCGAGAATCAGATGGCTTCGTGGGTGAATTATACCAGATACTTAAAAAGAATTACTGTTGAAACTTTTCATTCTTTCAAGAAAAAAAAGATGAGGGAACATTTCTAAACTCATTTTATGGAGCTGGCATTATCCTCATACCAAAGCTAGATAATGACACTATAAGAAAAGACAATTATAGGCCAGTTATACCTGGTGAACATAGGTGCAAAAATTTTCAACAAAATGCTAGCGAACCAAATTTAATATTAAAAGGTTTATATACCGTGAACCAGTGCAATTTATCCCCGGAATTCAAGGATGGTTGAATGTATGCAAATCAACAAATGTGATATGCCACATTAAAGAACGAAGAATAAACATGTATGATCGTCTCCATATATATGAAAAAAGCATTTGACAAAATTCCGCATCCTTTTATGATTAAACACTCTCAACAAATTAAGAGCAATGTTCCTCAACATAAAAAAATGCCATAAATGATAAGCCCACAGCTAACATAATACTCCATGGTGAAAAGCTGAAAGCTTTTCCTCTAAGTTCAAGAATGAGGCAAGGAATCCCATTCTTACCACTTCTGTTCAGTACAGTTCTCAGTGAAAGAGTGCTTAACTCTCATCCTGCTGTTTGCAAGAACATAAGTAAGAAATAAAACTAAAGGATGCTATGCTAAGTGAAATAAACTAGACACAAGTACCAATGCTTATATGATCTCTCTTATATGTGGAATCTCACAAAGCTGAACTCATAGACACAGAATGGTGGTTGCCAGGAATGGGGTAAATGTTGGTGAAGGGGTACAGACTTTTAGTTAAGATGAATAAGTTCTGAGAATCTAATTAAATCATGGTGGCGATAGTTAATAATGCTGTATTATTTACATGAAATATGCTGAGAGTTGATCTTATCATATACAAACACAGAATGGTAACAGTATACGGTACTGGATGTGTTAATTAACTTCATAGTGGTATCCGTTCCATAATTTGATACATGTATCAAATCACCACACTGTACACCTTGAATATATATAATTTTTGTCAATTATATTTTGATAAAACTGGAAAAAAGTGAATTATCAGGATACTCTTAATTGCATGTCAACATTTGTTTCATGGCATCTTTAAGTATAATTTATGTAGTTGAAATGCACAGATTTTGAAGTTTCTGTTAGGCGAGCTTTGAAAGCTCATACACATATATGACCCAAACTCTGATGAAGATGTAGAGTATTGTCCTCACCCCAGGATACTTCCTGAAGCTCCTCCCTCATCAGTTCCCACCCGCTACTTCACCCTCAGGTAAAACAGCTGTTTCAGTTGTTCACCAACAGATTAATTTGACATGTTGTAGAATTTCTTGTTAACATGATCAAATAGGTACTGTTTTGCATCTGGCTTCTTCCACTCAGATAATGTTTGAGATTTATCTACATTGTATGTAATGTCTGTTCATTGTTATAACTGAGTGAAAAGTCCATTGTCTAACAGAGTTATATATAACAGGGTTTGTTTATATGCATTGATGGGCACATACTTTTCCAGTTTGGGATTGTGATAAAGCTGCTATGAACATTTTTGGATGAATGTTTGTGGATCCTAAGTAAATACTTAGGATTGGAGTTTCTGGATCATAGGGGAAAATATATGTTTAGCTTTTAAGAAACTGCCAGACCTTTTAGCAAAGTGGCTGCATCATTTTACATTCCTACCAAAAATGTAAGAATTCTGGTTGCCAGCATTTGGATTGGCACTTACAATTTAGCGGTTCTGAGTGATAGATGGTGCTATGGATTATGTTTTTAATGTACATTTCTGTGATAACTAATGATTCAGAACACTTTCATCTGTTGGCTATTTGTGAAGTGTCTCTGCAAATCTTTTGCCCATGATTTTAAGCTAAATTGCTTCTTGTATATTGAGTTCTACTGTATAATATTGGAAGAAACAGTTTCATAGTTATTTTTCTTCAAAGAGTTTGAAAACCGGTGGCCAATATGAATTCCTCTGGTGGTGTCACCTTTGTTCCTTCTCTATTTTTATCTGATTTTTTCAGCTCACTTTCCTTTTCCAATATGCGGCTTCATACTAATGAGTATTTCTACCTGTGTGTCATTCCTCCAAGTTTCCTGGGTCTTTTGAACAAAGTTCACTTTCTGTTCTCAAGTGACTGTGTCCTTCCTTCAAATTTCTATGTTGAAACCCTCATTCCAGTGTGGTTGTATATACAGATAGGATCTTTACAGAAGTAATTAAAATTAGATGAGTTCTAAAGGTCAGGCCCTGACCTGACAGAATGAGTGTCCTTTTAAAAAGAGACACCAGAGTGTACTCTCTTTGCAAATGTTTGTGAACAGTCACTGAGGAAAGCCCAGTGAGCTCACAGGTGGGAAAGATCTATCCGAAGTCAGGAAGAGAGCCTGAGAACATTCCTATACCATACCATTTCTGCAGTCTGCCATTGAGTTCCATGTTACCAAGTCTTGATGGTACCTGTGAGATCTTATTACCACCACACAAGTCAAAAATTCAAGCTCCATTTATTATATGCTGAGACCTTGGGTCTTCCTCTTGACCCTGTCCCCCATTCTCCCTTCCCTTTAATTACTAGGCATCTCTTCCAGGCATTTTTCTTTTTATGGCAAACATATATCCTTATTAATATTTGGGTTTATAGTTTAAAGCCTACCCACTTAGGTCGTTGGTTCCCTGACAGTCATCTTGTCCCCAGAATCCAAGCCAAAGCCTATACCCTTTGCCAGCACCCACCCGTTTTGCCCATACCTTAAACCACTTTCTAGAAAATCAAATTCTTTTTTTTTAAGTTGTTGATGAACCTTTATTTTTATTTATTTGTATGTGGTGCTGAGAATCGAACCCAGTGCCTCATGCATGCCAGGCAAGCGTGCTACACTGAGCCACAACCCAGCCCCTAGAAAATCAAATTCTTTGACACCATCTTTTTAGCTAACCAATTGCTTCTCATAGCCTCATTTCCCTTTCAAACCTAAGTCTTTCCACTGGAGAGAGGCTAAAAGACCACCACACAGCTTACACTTGTACAAATCCTCCATGCTCTCAAGTCTGCAAGTTTCCTTCTCAGAACATCAACATTTTATAGCTAGAGAAACTATATGAAGTCTTGTGGTTATGGGGAGAGAGTTATCAGATTCTCAGGAACTTCTTACCTAAAAATGGATAAGAACCAGTGCTCTTGTACACCCCAGCAGGGGGTTGCACACCTGTAATCCCAGCAATTTAGGAGGCTGAGGGAAGGGGTTTGCAAGTTTAAGTCCAGCTTCAGCAACTAATTGAGACCCTGTCTCAAGATTTTAAAAAGGACTGGGGATGTGGCTCAGTGGTTAAGCACCCCTGGGTTCAATCTTCAATAGTACAAAATAATAATAATAATAATGGTAATAGTAATAGTAATACAACATTGCTCTGGAGACATAGTCCAGATTCTCCTGACTCATTTTTCACTCATGAGTCACTGAGAGAAGAGAATTCTGGAGAAGGAGTCCAGAAATGCAGTTTGGCATGGTGGCCCATGGAGGCAGCTCGTCTGGCTATGCCAGTCTTCAAAAGTCCCTCCATGTGCCCTAATAGGAACCACCCAGCATCCCTTGCCAACCTCTTCCTCCTGAGACAGCAGGACCTTCTAGTAACTGTGATTCCCTTTATTGTTCCATGGATCACTGATCTTGTTTCCTATTACGAGAATTTTGAATCGCCCTCTGCAGAAAGGATCTCAGCTTTGTTAAACAGTTTCAGTGGCCCATAATATTGTCCTCTTTCTCTGTCCTGCGTCTTCTCTCTAAAGCATGACTATAGTCACCTTAACATCTGTTTAAATTCTCCCATCCTGTCCACAAACCCTGTGTCCCCTCTAATAAAGGTGCAGGGAGGCATTTCTCAGGTTCTTTCACTTTCTCCTCTTGTAGAGAAACCAACTTGGGGTAGATATGCATGGGTGGGTTTGTGCTTCCAGCAGGAAGGCCAGCAGGACACATGGCTATAGCCACTGTGACTATCCTGTACCTGGATCTTACATGATCACACGGGGTTCCCCTGGGAATTCTGCCTTTATTCTGCCTGTGTGCTAGCAAACGAAGGATTGTGGAGAGCTCTTGGAGCTGCTGCCTGCCTGTTTGCTTCACTGATCTTTCTAGAGTCACTACTCTGCTGTGGAGCAGGCAACTCCACTAAACTGTCAGGGAGGGTCAACCAGAGACAGCTCTTGACCAAGAGTACTTCAAAGTCACCAACGCTCCAGCACCTGTTTCCTGCCCTGTGTCTGCGCTGGTTTTAGGTTTTCTACTGGGCCTTCCAGAGCCCTGTGGAAGCCTCTTGTCAGTTATTTACTAAAGTTTTCATCTGGGACACCCATGGCCGTCTCATGACCTCCGAGAGTTCATGTGGCTTCGCTCATTGCAAAAGGTATTCCCTGGAAGCCGCTGAGAAGATGGAAAACTCTACCTCTTTAAATGGCTCCCTCTGGAGATGTTTTTGCCAGGCTGTGTCTCATGAACCTAAAATGGAAGCTCCTCCTGGTGCCAGCTTCGGTTTCCCAGCACTTGTCAGGGCTGCCCTGGGGGGAGCTGCTGACCGCATTCCACCCTCTGCCCCTTGCCACCTGAGGTCAACGTGGTGGCCTGGGCACCCCACTCCAGGTGCTTCCAGTAATTACTACTAAATTGGGTCTTATTCAACTTTGTGGGTTGAGCAGGAACTTGCTTTGCTCTTAAATCCGTGTTTTGAGTGTTTCTAGTGTTAGAAATGGTTTCCAGTGGCCACAGTACAAACCGCTGCTGTGTTTGTTTTAAATCTTGAGATTTCTTGCTTTTCTGTCATTTCTGGGTCTGTGGTACAAAAGCCACTGTAGGGATGACGGGGAAGACACTTTTGATCTCAGATGTCAGCCAGACTCTCAATCAGAAGTTTATACTTGGAGACCCGTGGAGATGGCACATTTGATATGTGACAGAAACAGGCTTTTTATACAGCTATAGGCTCCTAGAAACATTCATTGCCTCAAAAGGTATTTATTGAGAACCTGTTATGAGCCAGGAACTAAGAGACCTAGTCCCTGTCCTTATGGATCATGTGTTCTGTTGACATGTAGGGAAGTTTCTCTTTGGGATGAACTGCTTCATCATATCCAGTAGAGTCCACCTAGAAAACAAAATGGAAGAAATAGCCCATAAAATAAAAAAACAATAACAAGCCTACCTGGCTGGGATAGGTTTCAATGTCTGGCTTTATATACAGGGGCAGCACGCAAGGTTCAAGAAGTACGTGGGGCACAGTGCCCACGTCACCAACGTGAGATGGCTGCACAATGACTCTGTGCTGCTCACAGTGGGCGGTGCCGACACAGCCTTGATGATCTGGACCAGGGAGTTCGTGGGGACCCAGGAGAGCAAGCTGGTGGACAGCGAGGAGTCTGACACGGATGCGGAGGAGGATGGAGGTGAGTCCCAAATAGCCACACGCCACCGCACCTCCCTCTATGGCCCCTCCTGAGCCACTGCAAACCAACTCACTCCCCAATTTCTCTGTGTCGTTTGAGGCTATGACAGTGATGTTGCTAGAGAGAAGGCCATTGACTACACCACCAAGATCTATGCTGTGAGCATCAGAGAAATGGAGGGCACCAAACCACACCAGCAGATGAAAGAAGTGTCCATGGAAGAAAGGTATGGTGTCGCAAGGTTTGTCTGTGTTTGTTGTGCCTGACAAGAGACTTATTTAAACCAGAATGCATTTGTCCTCAAAAGCTGGTACTTAAGCAAGTCTTTTATAATCTGTAGACTTAACTTATATAGGGTTCAAGCTGGGGAAATTGCCCAGTGTCCTCACGATTTGTCCTCAGGACATGGCACTAGATAGGACTTTCTGCCTAGTAATAACTATTAATAAATATAATGTCACCTCTGATCACTCTTTGTAGAAGTTGATTATGGGTACGACTTGAACAGAAATGAAATTTTGTTGGACTAGACTCCTCTAGCTTTGCTGGGTCTGGAGAAGATGCCAGGATAGCCCAGAAGCTGTCCCGAATGCAATAGTTGACAGGAACATATGCTGATTAGTGAGATAGGAGTGAAATCGGGCTTTTCTCATTCAACAATATTTGTGGAGTTGTGAAAAATCATCTTCCATTCTGACTAGAGTCTTGCCATACCTAGTCACTTGGTAGAGATCTCTTACTGTGTCTTCCCTTACCCAGAATTGTTCCGGGAGGTCAGTAATTCCACATCTAACTCTTTTGATTTAGTTGCCTTGAATGCTGTATGTAAAAGAAGGTTTCTAGTAGCATGTGATTCCTTTTGATGAGTGATTTTAAGTATAGATAAACTTCCAACATTGTAGAATTCTAAAAAGCAAAACTCATAATTATGTAATTGACCACATTTGTACTTTGGATGATAATGAGTAAAGATTCTCATACTTAAAGTGAATTTCATGGATCTCAAAAGTACTTTAAGAATTCTCTGTGGCACTTCACCTTGTGGTGGGCTTGGTGTTCACAGCTACGTTAGTCTTGTGATGTGTAAGTCATGAAATCAAGTAATTTGCACTTGATAGGACTTTCTGCCTAGTAATAACTATTAATAAATATAATGTCACCTCTTATATTAGGTGGGAGTTTAGATGAAAAGAAAGAAAATGTGACTCCCAACCTTCTGCTTCAGTTCAATGCCAGATGATAAAATAAGCTTGATAAGTGGTGGGTGTGCTTCTGGCAAGAAGATGGTATCTGATGCAGAAAAGCACTAATTTTTCCCTAGCATCCTCATTAAATGTTGCTATGATGGCTCAGAGTTCTCTTTTAATTAAAAACACAGATTTTTTTTTGCAATGGTCTGTAAAGTATAGAAGTGTTGTTTATTTTGTTTGTAACTTGGTTTTAAAGTGGCCACAAAGACAGGAGGACTTAGTTCTAAGAATTAAGAAAAAAAAATGAACCATATGCACATAAGTACATGAGTACGCCTCCCACTTAACTAATCCACTCTAAAAAAAAACAAAAACCATTTGGTCTAAGTTAAAATTCTTTTTGGGGGAAAAAATTATCTGTCCTTTCCAACTGCACATTCCATTGTGAAGTGCGTTGACTTGGCCATTATTCCAAGGTTGTTTCTGGCTGATGTCTACAAAATGTGATGGTGTCTCATGCTGATATTTAGACCAGTGTAAAATATAGTCAGCTAACCAAAGTCTTAATTCCCAAATAATACAGCTGATTTCAAACTTAATCCACAGCTCATCTGAATCTCTCCTTGTCATATGTCTCTAAGACTGGGCTACAGAAGTGTCACACTGTCCAATTTTGTATAGGGTGGGAGGTGTAAGGGTAGAGAGAACCTTGAGGCTTTTTCCATTTTAAAATTCAGAATTTTGAAGTTCCCTTACTTCATCATGCAGTTGCAAATTTGTGATACATTAGCACACACTGAATTCACTTATTTTTAACAAAAGAAAAAAAATACTTCATACTATTATGAGATATAGGAGTAGGCCTTTCAGTGCTTTACTGGCACTTTTAAAAATAATTCACACTAGAATGCAGCGAAGAAAACAATTTTAAGATAAGTATAGGGTCCGGAGGAATAATCAAGTGTTTTCTATAGAGAGCAACTTCCTTGATAACTTAAAAAGCCTTGACAGCATCAGTTTGCAGAAGGGGCTGTAACCAGAGAGACAATGCCAGCTGCACAGCATGCTGGGAGCACAGCGTGCCCACGCCAGCCAGGGCAGCAGTAGATGATACCTGACTTAGAAGCCTCCATGCAGGCAAAGCAGAGCCAAGGACAAGCGGTCTCTACCCACCCCCGTCAGTCATTTTTGGGGAGCCTGAACCTCAGAAATCAGGTTGTAGGCAGCTTCTGAACCAGTGCCAGTAAAAGGTAAATTTTGGGCTTTTTGAGAAAGCAGGGGGGGGGATGAAAGGGGGGTTCTTTTTTTTTTTTTTTTTTTTGGTTCTGGGGCTCAAACCCAGAGCCTGGTGCATGCTAGGCAAGCACTCTAGCACTGAGTTACATCCCCAACCCTGGGTGGTACTCTTGACCATAAATGACATAGAACTCTTTAGTGCTCAGCTAGGTAGAAAACAGGTTGCAGGGACTCAGGGTTCCTAAGAATTAGGGGCAGTGACAGAAAAATGCTGAGTGCCTTAGACATCAGGAGCATGGAGCCAAGCAGCACCCAGTTCCTCCCTGGGAATATTCAGGACTGTCAACCAACAGCTCCTGAAGCTGCTCCCTTTAACTATTCAAGCCCTGCTGATTTGAGAGGCGCAGGCTCTCCTTGACTTTCCCTTCATTGTCCCCTTCCTGGTGCACGATGCCAGCAGATACCTGGGCGCATTTCCTAATCACTTAGGCTGAAACATACACCCATGAGACTAATGAGTGACAAGCACTCAAAGATGGAGATGTGCACTTGAAACAATTGTTCCATGCAGGGACCTATTTTGTCTCTTATTAATATTCCAGGCAATTCTGTCTCTAATTAAATCTCTTTCCACCTCTAAAAGCAGTTGGAAACCTTGAGATGAATAGAACATCTGTCATACTGAGAAGAAAAAAATGCCTTGAAGACAGCTGCACATTATGCATCAATCATTTTCTAACCAACCAAATGCCTAGTGCCTAAATTGTAAGATAGTCATGGGCTGTTTCTAATTAGATTCAGTTATCGGATTTAAAAATAGCTATGAGACTTTAGATCATACTTTTCTGTGCAGTTTCTAATACATTGTAAGTTCTTATTCTTCAGAAATCATATGATCTTCAGTTCCAGACTTTTGAGAAATGAGAAAGTTGAGAACAAAGTTGTAATTGCTCTCATAATAATACTGAGTGGTTCCTGCCAAATGTGGAATATCTTACAGGTGTTTATCCACCCACTTCAACTTTGCTCCAGCACCTTGCTTTCTTCCTTGACTTAGACTTGTTTAGCCAGTCCCCAACCTTGGGTAAACCTGTTGTTCAACTGCCACGTGCAGCACGTGGCTGAGAAGTCCTGAAGTCTTTTCCATTCTTGGGAATCCATGCTTTTGCCTGTCATCTGAACACTCAGGGCTGCCCCACACTGCTCTCCTTCATCCCCAGCTGACTCAGATCTAATTCTGGCCTACAGGAATCTTTCCAAACCTTCTCTGCCTCTCAGATTCCCTACTCCAACATGGCATATCCCTTACTCTCAACTTTTGACCTCGGATCCTCCTTTGCCATGTTTTCTCATAAGGCCATGACTGTTTTGTCCATCTGCAAACTTGAATTATTTAATAGATATTTAAAATGTCAGGAAATTCCTTTTGGGAAAAAAAGAAGGGGGGAAGCATAGTTTTTCTCAGAAATTTAAGGAATAAAATGCTTACTGTTAGGCAGGCATGGTGGCGCATATCTGTAATCCCAGCTGCTTGGGAGGCTGATGCAGGAGGATCACTAGTTCAAAGCCAGCCTCAGCAACTTAGTGAGGCCCTAAGCAACTCAGTGAGACCCTGCCTCTAAATAAAATACAAAAAAGGGCTGGGGATGGGGCTCAGTGGTTAAGTGTCCCTGAGTTCAACCCCTGGTCCCCACCCCTGCCACCCAACAAAAACACTTACTGTTATCACAGCACAAAGGACTGTACTCAAATTCTGTATTCTGACTTTGTTTCTTCTCCCAATCTAATTCGATGACAAAATCCCTAATGTTTGCTCAGTACCAAAGTACTAGAGTTACCTATAAAACTAAGATGTTTCTTTCACCACTTTATCAAAGCCACATCTAGATTATGTGTTGCTTTTGATTGATAAGATAGGGCTCTTCAAGAGAGTCACCCAACCCAAACTGGTCATTTTTTGGCTCACACATCTAAAACTTTAGGGACAGAGCAACTTCTGGTGTCTCTCGATATGAGGACTCAAATCCTGTTGCTGGGATTGTGCTCTTGCTCCATATCTCAACTCTACTCCCTCTGGATTATTGAAATTCTTCAAGTAGCAAAATGGCGACAGTACCTAGACTTTCTAGTCTGAGTCAAAACCAGCAGGAAAGAACTACCTCTGATTCACAATCTACATAAATGTCCTGTCATGCTCAGGTGGATCCCATGATAACTGTTGAGCCAATCTCTATGACCCAGAATAAAAGAGACTTTGAAACTGAGTATATAATCACATGCCAACCATAGACTAGCAATGTAATCACCTTCACCAGAACCAAATGCATTGCAAATGCAGTTACCACCACCCTAAGAGAGACATCCCAAATAAGTTACTGCATCCAGCCCTATACTAGTATCTCTAGGTGCTGTGAAGTCCTCTCATCCAGGTCCAGATAAAACTCCTCACTGTCCTGTTGCTAATGATGTTAACTATCTTAAATATACCAAGTACACCATGGTGAAGAGAAGACAGAATTGAGATTTTTTTTTAAACTATGAACAAGGAAGAATAAGACATAATATGCAGTGGTCACTGTTCTATGGCCATATTATCTTCAACTGGACAGGACAGTCGAACATTCCTGCCCTGGCCATGAGCATGCTTTGCACAATGGAGAGTTATATGAATGTTGGAAGATGCTGACAGGATGTAAAGGTTTTGTTCATAGACATACAGCCTTGAAAACCTGAAGTAGGAGGTGACTCTTTTAAAAAAGCACGGCTTCTCAATTCTCCCAAATTCCCACTGGGATGTAAA